AGTGTGGGGCTGCAAACTCACTTCTTCCTGCTCGTTTTTGTGGACAGGCTGTCTCAACATTGCTTTTATGTGTAATGTCTGTTGCCTGTCCTTCCTTGTTTCTGTGAGCTTAAGGAGTTGTTGAGTGTTTTCCGGAATAGGTTTTTAGAAACTGTGTTGCCGAGTTAGAGGCTTGATATCCTTTGGGATTTTGCCTTTGTAATTCATTTGGTTTGCGACCTGGAGGTCAGCCTGTGCCACGTGTTGTTGTGCTCATTGTGTGGGGTAGTGAGACAGCTGCCCACAGACCGCCAGAGAAGCACCTTCTATGGACATCCTGGCGTGTTTCCAGAGCCACTCAGGCCTGAGTGGCCAGCAGGGGAGACTCCCCTCTGCTGTGTCTGGGCCTTCCTCTGGCCTATGGGTGGGGTCGCTCCCTGTGTGCAGTGGGTCGAGGAGCATGCTCCGCTGTCTGTCTCTATATTGCTTACCGTACCTGGGGTCAGGGACCTTGGATGTGAGTCCTTTACTGGTTCATTGATTTTGGCTGGAGTCTGTCTTGGATCCCATGTTGCATTCAGAGGCATCTTGGGTTGGTGGTTTATGCTGGATACTTGAAAACATGTAGCTGGTCACATGTGAAAACATGTAGCTGGTTCTATTCAGTTGGTCTGGACAACTTTCAGGAGACCATGGGCACCAAACTGGGAGTTAGCATGTTTCCTTCCTGAATGCTCCTTGCTGCCTTCACCACATGAGCACTCATTGAAATGGGAGCATAGGAAGAAACTGTTTCTAGGAAATGAATACTTAATCTTAAAATATCACGAGATTGGAATTGACATATACACACTTATATATAGAAAAAGCAAGGGAATCCCAAAATACATCTACTTCTGCTTCATTGACTACACTAAAGCCTTTGACTGTGTGAATCACAACAAACTATGGAAAATTCTTCAAGAGACAGAAATACCAGACAACCTTACCTGTCTCCTGAGAATCCTGTATGCAGGAAAAGAAGCAACAGTTAGATCCAGACATGAAACAACGGACTGGTTCCAAATTGGGAAAGGAGTACGTCAAGGCTGTATATTGTCACCCTGATTATTTAACTTTATATGCAGAGTACCTCATGCAAAATACTGGGCTGGATGACTCAAGCTGGAATCAAGATCACTGGGAGAAATATCAGTAACCTCAGATGTGCAGATGACACCACTCTAATGGCGGAAAGTGAAGAGCAACTAAAGAGCCTCTTGATGAAAGTGAAAGAGGAGAGGGAAAAACCTGGTTTAAACTCAGCATTCAAAAAACGAACATCATGGAATCCAGTCCCATCACTTCATGGCAAATAGAGGGGGAAAAAGTGGAAGCAGTGACAGACTTTATTTTCTTGGTCTCCAAAATCACTGTGGATGGTGACTGCAGCCATGAAATTAAAAGATACTTACTTGCTCCTGGAAAGGAAAGCTATGACCAACCTACACAGTGTAACCTGTGCAGAGACATCACCTTGCTGACAAAGGTCTGTCTAGTCAAAGGTGTGTTTTTCCAGTAGTCATGTATGGATATGAGAATTGGACCATAAAGAAGGCTGAGCGCCAAAGAATTCATGCTTTCCAGTTGTGGTGCTAGAGAAGACTCTTCAAAGTCCCTTGGACAACAAGGAGATTGAACCAGTCAATCCTGAAGGAAATCAACCCTGAATATTCATTGGAAGGACTGATGCTGAAGCTCCAATACTTTGGCTACTTGATGTGAAGAGCCGACTCATTGGAAAAGACTCTGAAGCTGGGAAAGATTGAGGGTAGGAGGAGAAGGGGATGACAGAAGATGAGCTGGTTGGATGGCATCACTCATTCAATGGACATGAGTTTGAGCAAGCTCTGGGAGATGGTGAAGGACAGGGGAAGCCTGGCGTGCTGCAGTTTCTGGGGTTGTGAAGAGCCAGACACGACTGAGTAACTGAACAGCAACAATGATGTATAAAATAGATTAACTAATAAGGACCTACCTCTACTTAATACTTTGTAATGACCTACCTGTATGAGAAGTGAAAGTGATAGTTACTCAGTTGTGTCTGACTCTTTGCGACACTATGGACTATATAGCCTGCCAGGCTCCTCTGTCCATGGAATTTTTCAGGCAAGAATATGGGAGTGGGAGCCATTCCATTTTACAGAGATCTTTCCTACCCAGAGGTCAAAGACCCAAAGTGTCCTGCATTGCAGGCAGATTCTTTACTGTCTGAGCCACAAGGGAAGCTACCTATATGAAAATAGAACCTAAAAAAGAGTGGGATATATGTGTGTGTGTGTGTGTGTGTGTGTGTGTGTGTGTATGTAACTGATTCACTTTGCTGTATAGCAAAAACTGGCCTAATGTTGGCAATCAAAATCTTCAATAAAATTTAACAAAGAAATTGAAGGAAGTCTTGTAAAACCAAATGCTCTGCTTGTAAATAGGGATTTAGCTTTTTTAGTTTAGTGTTGCCGTATTGTTTTCATTTAAATTTGTCTCTATATATTTTCACATATTCTAGAGGAAACAATTTTTTTTAGTGGATATTGTTTAAAAAAACACATGTGCTTTAAATTTGTTAAGAAGTTGAAAGTCAATAAACAAAATCATCCAATCCCATTCTGGACCCAGCTGGGGTCTGTAAGTGTCTGGTCAGGGTACAATGAGGAAGACACTGCCCCTGGGTCACTCTGGTCAGCAGTGGGTCAGGTGTGCTCATTATAGCAAAGGTTGAAAGTGAAAGTGAAGTCACTCAGTCGTGTCCGACTCTCTGCGACCCCATGGACTATAGCCTACCAGGATCCTCCATCCATGGGATTTTCCAGGCAAGAGTACTGGAGTAGGTTGCCATTTCCTTCTCCAAGGGATCCTCCCGACCCAGGGATCGAACCCGGGTCTCCCGAATTGTGGGGAGATGCTTTACTATCTGAGCCAGCAGAGACTGGATGATAATAAAAATGAAGTGTTTAACTATTTACAATAGCAAGAATATGGAAACAACTTAGATGTCCATTGACAGATGAATGGATAAAGAAGTAGTGGTACATATACACAATGGAATATTGCTCAGTCATAAAAAGGAACACATTTGAGTCAGTTCTAATGAAGTGGATGAACCTAGAGTCTATTATACAGAGTGAAGTAAGTCAGAGAAAGATAAATATCATATACTAATGCATATATATGGAATCTAGAAAGATGGTACCAAAGAATTTATTTGCAGGGCAGCAGTAGAGAAACAGACATAGAGAACAGATTATGGACCCAGAGAGAGGGGAGGAGAGGGTGAGATGTATGGACAGAGTAACATGGAAACTTTCCATATGTAAAAGAGATAGTCAACGGGAGTTTGCTGTGTGTCTCAGGGAACTCAAACGGGCTCTGTATCAACCTAGAGGGGTGGGATGGGGAGGGAGATGGAGGGAGGTCCAAGAGGAAGGGGAGATATATATACCTATGGCTGATTGATGTTGAGCTTTGACAGAAAACAACAAAATTCTGTAAAGCAATTATCCTCCAGTTTAAACATAAATTTAAAAATTGAAGTATTTAATGGAAAAAAATGTCAGTAGAGTGAGATTTATTATATGATATTGTTCAGGTAAAGTAAAAATACCTGGACTTTAAAGCGGCATATGTTCTACAGAACATGTTCAAATTAAAAGGCACTCAAGGCAATAGAGGAGTTTCCTGTGGGGTTGTTGGGAGAGTAAGGTGAAGGTGAGTGATGACTCACAGGATGGGGGTGGGGAGGGGCCCAACTGGGTGAGCCGTGTTCGAAGCAAGGGCTGTGTCAAGCCCAGGGCCAGACAAGACTCCCTGACCTTAGGCTCATCTTCTGTGGGTGGTGGGCTAACGTTCTCCCAGAGGGCTTCAGGGAGGCTTAATGTACGTGTCAGACATTCAGAAGGGCTGGCCCTTTGACAGCTGAGGAAGTACTTGGTGCAGTGCTCGGCGTGTGATGGCAGGCTGCCTTCTGACTCCCAGCAGCCTCCTTACTTGGCTGGCTTGTTTGGTGTGAGTGATGGTGGGGTAACGAGGGACAGGGAGGGGATGCCAGGAGGGCTTGCAGAACACTTGAAGCTCTCTGTTGAAGGCAGTTCACTTGAAGAACAAGATACTAGTGGACACTGTAACGTGTTTCTGGTCAAAAACACACAGAATCCACCCGAGTGCTTGAGTTGTCCAGGAAATCAGCTGGTGTGCTTAGATGAGAAGCGTTTCCCTGCAGACACGTTTCCTGCCTTGTTCCTGGGTAGGTTAGTTCCTTTTTAGGCTGTTCTTCTTTATGATAATTTATCAGAACCCGAGTCCTGGCCTAGGCATGCCCTGTGGGCTGCGAGGGTTGGTTTCTGTGGGTCCTCACACCAAGACTCCATAGCTCAAATCTGCACAGTCACATGGGCATCCAGTGAAATGCACATCGGATTCTGTCAGTCCGGGGTGTGGCCCCAGAGTCTACAGTTCTAACATGCTCCCCCGAGATGCTGATCTCAGATTTTGGATATTGAAGTGTTTACATACTGTTGGACTCAGCCTTCCTGAGGTGTAGTTCTCTGAGCTCTGGACCAGCGTGTCGTCGTAGAACCAGCACCACGATCACAGCGTGGACCATCTTCACCCCCGCAGGATTCCCTCATCCGACTCTGGTCAGTCCTCCCAAAGCCCCTCCCATGGCGGCAGTCTGACGCTGCCTGTAACAGTGTCTTTTCCAGGTGTCATGTGACCGGAACCATTCCGCATGGAGCCTTTGGAGCCTGGCTTCTGTCGCTTAGCTGTATGCCTGTGAGACCCACCCAGACTCCCGTCTGTCAGCAGTTTGCTCCTCCTTACTGCTGCATAGCGCTGAGTTGTGTGGACACCTCATCCTTTCTTTATTCAGTCACCAGTGGAAGGACATAAGTGTTTCCAGGTTTTCCATTATGAATGAACTTCTAATTAAAAATGTTTGAGAACTTTAGAAGAAATGTAATTCTATTTTTCTATTGTTGTTTTAGGTGACATCACTCAAAAAGGATATGAAAAGAAAAGGGCAAAGCTGCTTGCACGCTGCGTACCCCTCATTCAAGGTGAGATTAACACAGGTCTTATAAAACTGATTTAAAAATTGATATTAGAGTTTGACTTTGGTAGTTTCATATTTTATTAATAAGGGCTGGGAAAATAATGTGTCTAATATTAAATTATAAAGTCCAAAGTCATAGATTAAAGTTTATGTCTCTGGTTTGGTATAGATTTCATCCCCAAATAGGATTTATGTTATTTTCATTATCATAGACCATGATTATTTTTATGATTTTAGTAAAGAACATTTCCTTACTTAGGTTTGGAACATATAAAGATGTGAGTTCTCCCACCTTATATTGATCTTCAGAGTCAGCACCTTCAATGTTTCAGCACAGTTTTTGGGGGTGGAATTTAAGAAGCTGATTTTAAAATTTATATAGAAGTTTGAGACTTCCCTGGCAGTCTAGTGGTTAAGACTCCTTGCTTCCACTCCAGGGGGCGCAGGTTCCATCCCTGGTCAGGGAATTAAGAGCCCACGTGGCTTGTGCAGCAAGGCAAAAAAAAAGAAGTTAAAAAAAATATATATATAAGTTTAAAGGGCTAAGGGATTCAAAATAATGATAAAAAAGAAGAATAAGGTTGGAGGATTTGCTGGTTATGATGTGAGGAGTTAATAGCACTCTGTCATTAAGACAGCCTTGTTTCGCCCAAGGGTAGATAGCTCAATTCACAAACAGAATGTGGACCCAGACAGACATGTATGGCTGTGGGGACCAGGCTTATGGTGGGGGTGGTGTTGCAGCTCACGATGCCGGCACGGTTCCTTAAGACCAGAAGCCAGATATGAAGGGCTTTAGTGAGAAAGGCAAAACTTATAGCACCTCTGGAAGATTGTATATGAAAACTCACCATCTCTAGACAGGAGAAGGGATTTCTCAAGTCCCTGGAGGTACCAAAAAGGAGCAACTGAAAAGGAAAAGGTTGGTAAATTAGAGTGTGTTAAAATTAAGAATCATGTTTCATCAGAAGTTCCCATAAAGAGATTATAGACAAGCCACAGTATAGGAGATGGTCGTAACATACATAAGAGAAAAAGGGCTAGAGTCCCGAGCCGGTGAAGCAGCAGCATCCAGGAGACCTTTTGCCAGAGCGGGCATGGTCTGCAGCCCCATTGCCCAGTCCACTGAGCACTTACCACGTGTGGCTTCTGAGCACTTGAGGTGTGGTAGCGTGGCTAAGACACTGCATTTTTTAAATTTAATTTTAATTAATTTAAACTTTATAAAGAGCCAGAAAGTTTCCCAGTGTGATTTTTTTTTTAAAAGCCCAGTAGGAAAATGGCCTAAAGACTTGCATAAATATTCTACCAGAGGAAACCCTAATTGTTAGCAGGCAAACGAGAAGCCCGCTGGGCTGCTCCCAAGGCCCTCTGTGGCAGGCCAGTGCCCAGGCAGCACCGCGGACAAACAGCAGGCCTCCACCCTTGCACAGGTGCTATTGTTTTCTACTTTGAAACCTTGGTGTCTGCTTACTTGGCTATTAGAATTAGTAAGCGTCTTGGTTTGTACAGAAGACAAATATCAATAGCTTTTCTCTGGCAATATTTCTGTTAATAAAATAGCTCACATTCATAATGGCAAAAAAACTGCCAAATATTTTTAATGCATTTAGCAAGAAAGCCACAGGACCTATATTAGCATCATACAATCTATTTGAAAGAAGTAACCAGGATCCTAAAATATGAAGAAATATACCAGTATCTTAGATGCAAAAATTTAATATTATGAAAGCAGTAGTTTCTAAATTAACATGTGACAAAATGTAATCCAGTCTGAATAGCAGTGGTTGATTTTTCCCCCCCAAACCTGGCGTTGGAAATAACTCACTTGGAGGAGAAAAGTTCTGAGAGTAGCTAGTATACTGGTGAGGAGGAATATCAGGGAGAAAGGCTTGGCCTTCAGGGTGTTAAACTTTGGTCACGTGCACTTGGTAGTCCCAACCACAGGGTGTTGGTAGATGCATGGACAGCTGAACAGTGTAAGGGGAGGCCGTCTAGAAACGATCCAGGAGAATTCAAAGGAGGGAAGATTTATCTAGTAACTGGTGCCGTGCCTGTGGAGGCCACAGTGGGACCCCCTTTCCTCTGCAGCATCAGTGGACGTAAACTTCAGGAGTGAACTCTAAGTATGTTTGTAATTACAAAATACTATAAGATTCAGGAGAATATTGAATAATGTTTGAGTAATGACACGATGAGAGACCTGGGGGGCGGCGGGGAAAGAGGTTATGATTGTCTCTCTAGAAATGAAGCACTGCAGAGTGACTGAGCTGCAGCCAGCTGGCCGTGGCCTGGGGGCATGTCCAGCATAGGGTGGAGCCTCTAGCTGACCAGGGCTCCCTGCAGGTCCTTTGGGGGCTCCTTGCATGCATGCATGCTCAGTCGCTCAGTCATGTCTGACTTTTTCCAACTGTAGTATGCCAGGCTCCTCTGTCCATGAGATTTTCTAGGCAAGAATACTGGAGTGGGTTGCCATTTTGTTCACCAGTGGATCTTCCTGACCCAGGGATTGAACCCACATCTCCTACATTACAGGCAGGTTCTTGACCACTGAGCCACCTGGGAAGCCCTTTGGGGGTGCCTTAGCTGGATAGAATTAATAGAATTCAAAGAATAGGACGTACGGATGGGCAGTAAACATTTAAGTATGTTCAACCCGTAGATACAGGAATGCAAATTAGTGAACTGTTCTCCTGTCAGATTGGCAAGATTCTAAAATTTGTAACATCCAGTGCTGACAGAGACATGGGGAAATGGCACCCTGTGGGAATGCAATTTGCTGTGGCCTGAGAAGTTCTCTCTTGATACCTGTTAAGACTAAAAATATAGCTACTCTTTCATCCAGTGGTTTCCCATTGGGCTTTATATCTTTCTTAAATTAATCAATCTCAATAAAAGCACTATATTTTGGAATAAAAATGCAAGGATGTCCCTATATTTACACATCACTTTGCAAGTATACCTGTTTATAGTCCGTAATGCATACGATTCTGTGTTCTCCATTATGGATTTTAGGGAAATTTGTTCCAGTCAGTCCAAGAAAAAAAAAAGCCAGAAGCAGTGCTGATCAGTATTGCTTCATGTTGCATACATGTATGTGTGTATATGTTCAGTTTTGAAATGCTAACTAGCACTCCAAACCTGGTACATAAACATCAGCAACGGCAGCATTCTGCGCCCACGCCTGGAGGTCGGCCTGTCTTGGGGGCAGCTCCTTCCTGTCTGCAGAGCCAGAGCTGGTGTCCCAGGGGCTCCTCAGTCACAGAGGTGCCTGGAGGCTCAGGCAGCGGAGTGGGGGCCCCACGTCTCCTGTCCCCTCTGTCCTCTCTGGGTGTCATCCTAGAGAGCTGGGGTCAGGTGGCCTTTTCATGAGCAGCGTCGGAGGTCATGACCCCCTGAAGCCCAGGCGGGGCAGTTCAGATCAGGTCAGTCACTCAGTCATGTTCAACTCTTTGCGATCCCATGGACTGCAGCACCCCAGGCTTCCCATCCATCACCAGTTCCTAGAGCTTGCTCAAACTCATGGCCATCAAGTCAGGGATGCCATCCAACCATCTTGTCCTCTGTTGTCCCCTTCTCCTGCCTTCAGTCTTTGCCAGCATCAGGGTCTCTTCTGATGAGTTGGCTGTTCGCATTAGGTGGCCAAAATATTGGAGCTTCAGCTTGAGCATCAGTCCTTCCAATGAATATTCAGGACAATTTCCTTTAGGATTGACTGGTTGGATCTCCTTGCAGTCCAAAGGGTTCTCAAAAGTCTTCTCCATACCATCAATTCTTTGGTGCTCAGCTTTCTTTATGGTCCAACTGTCACATCCATACATAAATACTGGAAAAACTGTAGCTTTGACTAGACAGACCTTTGTCAGCAAAGTAAAGTCTCTGCCTTTTAACATGCTGTCTAGGTTGTTCATAGCTTTTCTTCCAAGGAGGAAGCGTCTTTTAATTTCAGGGCTGCAGTCACCATCTGCAGTGATTTTGGAGCCCAACAAAATAAAGTCTGTCACTGTTTCCATTGTTTCCCCATCTATTTGCCATGAAGTGATAGGATCAGATGCCATGATCTTCGTTTGTTGGATATTGAGTTTTAAGCCAGGTTTTTCACTCTCCTCTTTCACTTTCATCAAGAGGCTCTTTAGTTCTTCTCTTTCTGCTCTAAGGGTGGTGTCATCTGCATATCTGAGGTTACTGATATTTCTGCTGGCAGTCCTGATTCCGGCTTTGCTTCATCCAGCCCAGCATTTTGCATGATGTACTCTGCATATAAGTTAAATAAGCAGGTGACAGTATATAGCCTTGACATACTCCTTTCCTGATTTGGAACCAGTCTGTTGTTCCATGTCCAGTTCTGTTGCTTCTTGACCTGCATACCAACTTCTCAGGAGGCAGGGAAGGTGATCTGGTATTCCCATCTCTTGAAGAATTTTCCACAGTTTGTTGTGATCCACACAGTCAAAAGCTTTGTTATAGTCAATAAAGCAGAAATAGATGTTTTTCTGGGATTCACTTGCTTTTATGATGATCCACCAGATGTTGGCAAGTTGATCTCTGGTCCCTCTGCCTTTTCTAAATCCAGCTTGAACATCTGGAAGTTCTCAGCTCACCTATTGTTGAAGCCTTGGAATTTTGAGCATTACTTTGCTAGTGTGTGAGATGAGTGTGATTGTACATTAGTTTGAACATTCTTTGGCATTGCTGTTCTTTGGGATTGGAATGAAAACTGATCTTTTCCAGTCCTGTGGCGGCCAGTGCTGAGGTGGGGACAGGCTGCTGCTTTTCAGGGGGTTCTAAGTGCTGGTGGCTAAGGCTGTTTTTCTGGGACATCTTGAAACAATCTAGTGCTCAGGCAGGACCAGGGACTCTGTTAAATGACCCTGCAGGCTCGTGCTTGTCTTTTACTCAACACATGACGTCCCGATGGTCTGGGTGTTGGCTGGCCATGGGTGTTTTAGTCATGGGGCTGCAACAGGCACAGAGAGCTGGCCACCCGTCAGCTTGGAGACACAGGTGTCACAGGCCCAGGTGGTTAGTACCCGAAGTCTCCGAGCCTCTCACTGGCTTTCCTACAGTGTCTGAGGGCAGCTGTCAACACCTGGGTGATGGGTTCGTGGGCTGCTTCCTGCTGGGCTTGCTGACACCAGGGCCACTGCGGGGGAAGGGAGGGGATTTCGAGAAAGCTGACCCTAGAGAGCTGGCCTCATGCACCATGTGCACCAAGCTGGGGGCCCAGAGCTGCTGACATCGATGTCTCAGCCCTGACCTCCAGATTTAGGGTCTTCTGGGCTCTGGGGCCCTGGCATGCGTGGTTGTGCAGCAGCATGCGAGAGGTGTGTGCTATTCTGCATGGGTTTTTTCCATTGTTGGAAAAGCAGGTTGTTTACTGAAGGTGTTTCTGTGAAATTGTTTCAGGAGTAGACCCCTCCCTGCAAGTGGAGAATCGCATCCTCGGGCCCGCACAAGCCTCGGCCCCCGTGCCCAAGCAGCCCAAGCCACGGCCCAGCAACGCCCGGGATGAGCGCTTCCGGTCAGGTAGGGCTCTGAGTGCTGTGGTCCTCTGCTCGGACACCACAGCTCCGCTGCGGAGAGGGCCTCCTCTGAACTGTGACTTACCGCATTGTGGTTTTTCAAGAAAGAAACAAAACTTCCATAGATCTCAGTACGTTTTAGTGTAGCCTGGAGTGTGAGCATGCTCCTCTCCGCAGTTGTGTATAGACGTCTTAGAAGAAAGCAAAATCTTCCTCACCATTGAAATCATTTCTGTAAATGCCTGTGTCCATTTTTCTGCTGGAACTTTGGGGTTGGTGTTGGTGGATTTGCCCAGTTGGGAACCACTCTACTACTCTACGTGTTTAAGTAGTTTATTTTTCTCTAATTTTGGAGATTTCCTTCTAATTAGATTTCTGCCACTCTGTTAGTGCTTTTATAAATACTTGAATTTGTCTCTGGCATTTTATTTGAATTATCAGGACATCCATTGAAAAAATGCACGCTTCCAATAATCCTTTTACTCATTCATTATTTTTGGCAGAGCTGGGTCCTTGTTGCTGTGCGGGCTTCTCACTGCAGTGGCTTCTCCTTTTGTGGAGCACAGGACTTAGGGTTTGTGGGCTTCAGGGGTTGTGGCTCCCATGCTCCAGAGCACAGGCTAACTAGTTGCGGTGCACGAGTTTTGGTGCTCCGAGGCATGTGGGATCTTCCTGGACCAGGGATGGAACCTGTGTCTCCGGCACTGGCAGGCGGATTCTTTACCAGCAAGCCACCAGAGAAGCCGTGTGCTTCCTGTTACAGATTAGGTATCAGTAGCTTTTGAACACTTTTTTGCTTGTTTAACATTTTCACTGTTGTGTGATTAAATATTTCTTTTACATTTAAACTCAGTAAGCTTTTATAAAAGAAAACTTTCAAGATAGATAAAGAAATGGCCATTTCGTTTTAAGAATGTTTTTTAATAAAAATGAAGATTTTATTTTTTTATTTTTATTTTTTTCCCAATTATTTTTATTAGTTTGAGGCTAATTACTTTACAATATTGTAGTGGTTTTTGCCATACATTGACATCAATCAGCCATGGATTTACATGTGTTCCCCATCCTGAACCCCCCTCCCACCTCCCTCCCTATCCCATCCCTCTGGGTCATCCCAGTGCACCCCGAGCACTTGTCTCATGCATCCAACTTGGACTGGCGATCTGTTTCACACTTGATAATATACATGTTTTGATGCTGTTCTCTCAGATCATCCCACCCTCACCTTCTCCCATAGAGTCCAAAAGTCTGTTCTGTACATCTGTGTCTCTTTTTCTGTCTTGCATATAGGATTATTGTTACTGTCTTTCTAAATTCCATATATATGTGTTAGTATACTGTATTGGTGTTTATCTTTCTGGCTTACTTCACTCTGTATAATGGGCTCCAGTTTTATACATCTCATTAGAACTGATTCAAATGTATTCTTTTTAATGGCTGAGTAATAGTCCATGGTGTATATGTACCACAGCTTTCTTATCCATTTGTCAGCTAACGGGCATCTAGGTTGCTTCCATGTCCTGGCTATTATATGTTTATAAAAATGAAGATTTAAAATGGTTGGTTAACGTGGGAGTGTGATGATGTGGTTTGAGGAAAATATTGATCAGATAATTTCTTACTGATTTAATATACATTTAAAAAAACTTCCCCACACTGACAATGATTTCTTTTTGTATTACATCAATGATGCCTGTAACATAGAACATTGGAAACGGCCCCATCAGCATTCCACCAGTGGAGCCCTGGGCACAAAATGGACACGTGTCCACGCACCCTGAGTGAGGTCACCAGAGGTCCCCTGCCTGTCCTCACCTCCTGTTCCCTGTCGCCTCTGTTTACGTGTAACTGATGCTGAGGACCTGATTTCTGCCCTTGTGAACTGTATCTGGCTCTTGTTATTTACTTTCTGAAAATAAGACCTTCTCCATAAATGTTCTTTGCTCATGTTTTCTCCAAGGCTTGTCTTCTCTGAATTCTCCTACAGTGGCTTTTGTAGCAGAAGTTTTTAATTTTCATGAAGTGTGGCTTATCCCTTCCTTTTCTTTCTTGAATAGTGCTTTTGTTCTTGTATCTAAGAAATCTGTGCCAAACCCAAGGTCACAAAGATTCTTACCTGTGTTTTTTTCTAGAAGTTTTGTAGTTTTAGGTTTTTACCCTTAGGTCTGTGGTTTAGATGTTGTCAGTTTTAGTGTGAGTTCAGGGTGTGGTACAAAGCTGACTTGCTTGCACGTGGGAGTCCCGTTGTCCCCATGCCCTCGCTCCTTTGTCTAAATGCAGCTGCTCACGGGTGACTCTTTCTGGACTCCGTTCTGTTCTCTTGATGGGTTCGTCTGTCGTCATGGCAGCGCCAGCTCTCTTAATGATGGCAGCTTAGCAGTCATTGTTCACACGGGTATATCCACTCATTCCTCCAGGTTTATTCCTTATCATTGTTCCCTTGTATACCCTGTGCCCTTCTTCCCTCTGGCACTTTTACGGTTTTTTACAGTGATCTGATTATTATGTGCTTTGGTATAAGTTTCTTTGTTTCTTGTGCTTGGGGTTTATTGAGCTTCTTGAATCTGTTGCTTTATATTCTTATGTTGGTATTGTGTAGATTTTTAGTTCTTGATTGTTATCTGTACTTAGGTTGTTTGTTTGTTTCTAAGGCAGCCACAGTGTAAAAAGTCTGTGCTCACAGTCAAGCCAAATCTCTTGCAGGGACTCCTAGGTTTGTCTCTCTTCTGAACACAGTCTTTCATGGGTGTTTCAGTTGTATGTCTGGGAGTATTTTTATTAGACCCTGAAGTTTAAATGGTACTTTGGCTGTATATAAAATGACAGGTTCAAAACTCGTTTCTTCAGCTGTGTTGCCTTGTATTTGGTGATTACCATTGGTAAATTTAGCCTGTTTCCTGATCCATCAAGACTGTTTCTCTAGAAGCTTTTAGGATTGACTGGTTATCTTTGATGTTGGTAAAATTTTACTGTAATATGTTTAGATGTAAATTTTTCATCCTTAGTACCCTATGAACCATTTTACTATAAGGTTTCTAAATGCTATTTAAAACCATCTTGTTGGGGAAAAATGTGAACATATATAAAGGTGGCCTTGGTGGTGTACTGAGCCCTGGACTTGCCCAGTGCCACAATTGCCACCATGCTCAGGCCCAGTCTTGGCTTCTTCATCAGCTCCTGCTGCTTCTTCCCTTCCTGTGTGACTCTGAAGCAAATCTCAGAGATCATGTCATTTTACCTAGATGTCCTAATACTCTTGGTTTCTATTTCTGAAAAGAGTGTGTGTATCTCCATGGATAGCTCCATTATCACAGAATAATTAGCAGTAATTCCTTAGTGTCAAATACCCATGTGTTCAAACTTTATAAAACAGTTTGCACCCACGATCCAGATAAGATGTACATGTCACAGATATTCCGCTGGTGATAACTTGGTCTGGGGCCTTGGCTGTGGCCTGGCTGCTCCTGGCTCCATGGCTCTAGCAGGTCACTTCGGGACCAGTGTTTTCCCACCACAGGCACTGCAGACCTGTGTCTCTCCCCTCCCTGGGATGTCGGCAGGGTTGATCCCTTGGTTCATTTAGGGTGGATTTGGTGGCAGAACGGCTGGACCAGTTCTGTGAAGAGCAAGCAGCTAGTTCTCATCACACAGCACCGGAGAGCCGGGAGAGATGCTCGGCTCTTTCCATCCAGTTAATGTTTTTCAAAACAGTAGCTTGTGCCACTGGCGTCCTCCCGTGGCAGCCAGTTAGTTTTACTTCCTCTTTTTCTTCCTCTCTTTTCTCTGATCTTGTTTTTGTCCTTGGTGGTATTCAGACTGCCCCAACCTTTTTCTTTGGGGGTGCTTCTCTGTCAGCTCCAGCATTGGGTTGCTGGCCAGGAACTTGTTGGTTGGTAGGATGAGATTCTCCAGAACCCTCTGCCACTTCCTGCACCCTGGAATCCACATTTCTTGGGGTTCTTGCAGTGAGGACAGTGTTATAAGACTGCAGCCTGGATGGTAGGGGTGCTCATTGCACTCGGGCTGGTCATCATTTCTAGACATTTTTAGAGACTGAAGACATGCTATTTAAAGATAAAATGCCACATGTGTTCATGCAGATAATTTCCATTCAGATTCAGGACTGCAGTGTTCCCCTCACTCCTGGAGTCTCTGTGTGTATCCCTTCTCTCCCTGTTAGTGTCTTGGTTTCTAGGGAGGAATGATGGGGTGAGGCCATCAGCCCGTCTTCGTTGGCTCTCTTGTACTTGACCACAAGTGTGGCGGTGTGACGGGACCCCTACCACCTCCCGGCCATGCGACTACAGGAAGAGCTTGGTTCCTTGCATGGCTCTGCCCGTCCTGGGGCTTGACCGGGACGGCAGCTCAGACAATATGACCACAGAGCTTTAGTGCTGCTTGTAGTGGTTTATACCATAATCAGAGTGCATTAGGTTCATCTGTTTCATTTTATTTTCAGTTTTTGGGATTTCCTGGTTTAAATCTGAAAATACTTGTGAAGTCGAATCTATAAACCAAGGAATATTTGTAGAAATCTAGGACCAGTGTGTGGACCCACATGTAGGCTGACCTTGTGTTCCTTTTATACTCAATGAAACCAGATTAAAAACATGAACCATGGTTTTGTTCCTTCATCAGGAATCTTGTAACAGGTGCTTTTGCTGCTGTTGTTTCTGTGCAGATGTTCACACCGAGGCCGTGCAGGCAGCTTTGGCCAAATACAAAGAGAGGAAGATGCCCATGCCATCCAAGAGGCGCTCTGTCCTCACGCACGCATCTGTGGAGGCCTACACACCCCCAGGTACTGATTAGGGTTGGGACGGCTTGGGCAGGGTTGGGGCGGCTTGGGCAGGGTTTCCCATTGAGATGGAGCAGGCTTCTGATTGTGGTGAGGAGTGTGTGTGTGCTCATGCACGTTTCTGTGCATGCAGTGAGCTTGCTTCCAATAGATCGTCTATATAGATTTTAATTTTTTCACTAAGATGTAATTTGTGTCTTTTAGTAAAGAGAGGAACCAGCAGTAAGTGCTTTATGTGGTGACAGAGTTCCATGAATTCAGAAATTTAAAATTATTCTCCTTGAGTTGGTCAAAAAGTTCCTTGAGTTTTTTTTAAGAAAAAAGACACATTTCTCACTTTCATCAAGAACTTTATTGAACAATGTAGTCACCATTTTGTTCCACTACCTTCTGTTATTTTTCAGGCAGTTTCATATTTCCATTCCCCAAACTTGTTATCTTTTTGATCAAAGAACTGTTCCAGGTGCCTTTTATACAGTCTTCCAGGGAACTGAAAATTTTTTCATTAAGAGAATTTTGTAAAGCCCAAAATAAATGGACATCCAAAGGTGCAATGTCTGGTGAATATGGCAGATAAATCAGAACTTCCCAGCCAAACTGTAACAGCTTTTGCCTGGTCATCAAATAAACATACAGTCTTGTGTTATCCGGATGGAAGCTGACATGTTTTCTCCTGACTGATCCCAGATGCTTTTTGCTGAGTGCTGGTTTCACTTGGCCTAATTGGGAGCAGTACTTGTTGCAATTAGTTGTTTGGTTTTTCGGAAGGAGCTCATGATAAAAGACCCCCTTCCACTCCTTCCTACCATGTACACAACATCACCTTCTTTGGATGAAGACCAGTCTTTGGTGTAGTTGGTGGTGGTTTATTTCGCTTGCCACGTGATCTCTTCCGTTCCCTATTATTGTACAAGATCCACTTTTTATCAGCTGTCACAGTTTATGTTAAAAATGGAATGTTTTCATCGTGTTTAAGTTGAGAATCATACGTGGAAATACAGTCAAGGAGTTTTTTTTGTTTTTGCTTTTTTTGTTAACTAATGTGGAACCCAAAGATCAAACTGATGAATATAACCGAACTTGTGCAAATTATTTTCAGCACTTGATTTGGATATTTTCTGTATGTCAGCTATCTCTCACCTGGTATAACACTGATTGTTCTCAGTTAATGTTTCAGTTTGATCATGATCCAACTTCAACTGGTCTACCTGACCATGGAGCAGCATCATCTAGCAAGAAATTTCCCTCATGAAACTTAGCAAACCACGTTTGACATGTCTGATCAGTCACAACACCTTCTCTACACACGGCACAAATCTGTTTTTGCATTTCAGTTGCATTTTTACCTTTCTTGAAATAATAAAGCGTAATATGTGAAAATGTTGCTTTTTCCCTTCTATCTTCAATATTAAAGTTGGTACATAAAAATTCACTAGTTTTGATAAGTTGTTTTTTTTTTTTTAAATGAGTGCTGATATGACAGCTGTCACAATACAGCCTAACAAAATTGTCTTGAATGAAGTTGAAGACAGCTAAGCACTACTAGAGCCATCTTACAGAAAAAGCAGCGAACTTTTTGGCCAACCCAATATTATGTGTTATGTTGTTACCAGGTTTTAAATGGGAAAGAATAAGGCCGTTTGGAGGGTTTTTGATTTGTTTTGTTTTTGTTATTTCGTTACCATTAGAAATGAAAACTCTTAATGCGGCCTCTCTTCAGGATAGTTAGTGTGTTTTAAGTTTCCTGGAAAGCTCACCCAGGTGGTGGGAGCACAGTACTGCCTGTCTGGTTATTGAAGTCACAAAGCTGGTGACAGGCGTGTTTGGTTTGCCGACGTGGTAAAACATCAGCCACACCAGGTCCACAGGATAGTGCAGTGTTTTGCTGATGCTTCCTGACTTAAAAAAAAGTTTATGTTGTTGAAAAAAAGTCTTAGAAATTTATGCCAAATTATTTTCTACCAAATATAACCATAGATACTACCCAGTTTTTAAAGAACTTCCTAATAATAATGAAACCCATGATAAAATGCAGACTTGACAGAACCAGAATTCAGGTTAATTGTATTGCCCGAGGCGGGGCTCTTTTCAGAGCTCAGGCACATCCTCCAGGGTGCACAGGTGCTGGGCAAGGCCTTGCTGGGATCAGGCACCCATGGGGCATAGGTCACCTCTGCTCTTCGGGGCCCCCAGGGCCCCACGGCATGCACTAAAGTGGTCAGGGTTGGACCAGCTGCATCCCTGGGCATGGCGCCCTGTGACCAAGTTCTTCGGGGGAGCCCGGGGTGCAGCCAGCTTCCAAGCGGCCCTGGGTCTCACTCACGGTCAGTCACACGCAGACCTTCCTGGACGTGCGGGTGCGCAGGGCGCAGGCCGGGCCGGTATGGGAACCCCGCTCCCAAGGATGCCCCCCTCATGCCTGTCGTCGTTATTTTGACCACAGACACGTCATCTGCCTCAGAAGATGAGGGCTCTTTACAGCGCCCCGGGCGACTGGCCTCCGCTCCGCTGCAGAGCCGCCCCAGCGTCGAGCCCTGGCCCGAGCCGGCCATTCAGGGCTCGTCCACCTCCTCCTCCGCGTCCTCCACCTCATCTCACCCGGGAGGGCAGCCTGCCGCCACGCCCAGTGCTGCCGCTGCACTTGCCAGCCCCGCGGCCCTCACCCACGTAGGTCAGTACAGCCGTGGGGACCCCTCCAGGCAGAGGAGCCCCCGCCCCTCCTCAGACCCACCTTCTCCTCTTTGTGTGGAAAGTGTCCTTTTGGTAACACAAGTGGTTTCTGGTGCCTCTGTGGTTTGGCAGCTGCAGACCCTGGGTGGGCCTCCCCTGGAGACCTGGACAAGAGCTGGTGCTTCTGCTCTGGCAGGGCGGCTGGCACAGGTGGACAGTCCCTGGCCGTCAGGAGGCCTGCCACCTGCAACACGGTCTTTTGTTCCTCCCTTCTGTGCACAGCTGCAGCCCTCAGTTGTCCCTGCGCTGGGTGTCCCAAGGTGGGGCTGGGGCTGCAGCCATGGAGAGCCTTTCTTCCTCTGCACACAGGGTTAGACAGTCCTCAGTCTGAAAAGAGATGTAAGTCACAGCTCAGTCATAAAGATGCCTAGACCTTTTCCAAGTCACCCAGTCCTTTAAATTATATTAATCTTAGAGAGGAAAACATTGCTAAGCTTTCACCATTTGAAGTCATATTTTTTGATGCAAAAATCGTAACTTAGCTGGCATGCAGAGTGCACATGCATTCTTGCAGGAGTGCCTTAAGAAGTGTACTCCTGGGGTGGTGCATTGCTGTTGTTGGGGGTCATCTGACGAGGAGGAAGAGCTCAGTCGGGGACTGCCCTGGCTGAGACCACACAGCTGGCTGTGGTGGAGCCAGGCTAACCCATAGCTTTCTGATTCCTGTTCCTTTTCTTTGCTGTTGCTGTTCTGCTAAAACCAGAACAGTGCATCTGTGGTGCGCCCATGACAGGCCAGTGTTTCTGATGGCGTCCCAGCAGGTTAAGTGCCCCCCAGGCATGTGCTGGTCTCAGGCGCTGAGCTGCTTCCATGCAAGATACTGGTCATTTGGCTGGACTGGGTGTTGTAAGTGACCGACGCCTTCATTTCCTCTGTGGGCACGTCACTGATGCTCTTCGTTTGTTACTGGTTTCAGTCAGTGCCAATGTCTGTACATTTCTGTTGAGCTCGTGATGTCTTCTTAGGTGAGAACTCACGATGCCTTGACCTGCTTCCAGCATGTGGAGGGGCCAGGGTCGCGCTGTCAGGGCCATCCTGGGCGGTTTGCTTTAGGAGAGAAGGCTCCTCTGGAAGTACCCGCTAGGATTGTTGTGGTCAGTCTCCTGGGGAGCCTACAAATGGCTGGTGATTACAGCCCACCTGTCCTCAAGGAGTTTCATAGGGGAGAGCTTGAAAACAGCATTAGGTGGACACATTCTTGCTGTTTGTCATGGCGATTGCACTCTTTGGAAATGCATAAGTACCTCCACTGTGAGGGAAGCGGCAGCATTCGGTGTTCTCTTCTCTTCTCGCTTGGTCCAGCTTTCCGAAGCTCTGTTCCAGGTCCCACAGTGTGAAGAGTAGGGCAGAGCAGTCACTGTTTGCTTGTATCAGCCATTGCTGAGCTGTTGTAAACACTGCTTCCTGGTGGGTTAGAAAGAGAGGCATATTTAGCTTGAGAAACTGACTGTAGTTTAAAATGTCTAACCAGACAGCCCTTGACTTCACAGAGTTGTGAGGTGAGTCTGAGTGGGCGTCTCTTTTCTCAGAAAGGTCCTGGCTGTAAAGACTTCAGGGTGGGTTGTCGCCTCTGTGGTTGAGGGGCTCCTGACTCCCGCAGGTGAGGCTGAGCCCCTCTCCCCTCCTTCCTGCTCACCTGTGCTCACATGCATGTTATATGGTTAGTTCTAGTAGTCTGAAAGTCTGACTTGCTCTGTACTTATACCTCACTGTTGTCTGTAGCTCTCATGCCCTACTTGTGTGACCTGAATTTTAAATCTGAAAAATATCCCACTTCCCTCTCCTTGTTATAAAAGTCATCCTTTTTTTAGTTTCTCACACTAGGAGAATTCTTCAGTTTGGGCTAAGGAAAGAAATATAGAAAGAAGATGGCTATAAAAAAATTATAGGTAGAAAATGTTAAAAAATATTTGTTGGTTTCAGTTTGGGGCTAGGAAAATCAAGTGCATAAAACATTTGGACACAAGTACCTGTATTTAAAAGCAGTACATTTAATTACAGTAGTTCATTTTGTAGTGTAGTTTGTTTATTTTTATGCAGCTATTTAAAAAGTTACTTTGTAGTTGAGAATTACCATTTATACCTTTTTTCATGAATATAGTTAAAATCTCTCATTTTTGCTAGATTGGAAAGGTGGGGAGATTTGTTTTTAAACTGAAAGAATTCTGTGGTAAGCATACTTTAAAATGCTGATTTCATAATACCTAGCTTTCTCAAGGATTGTGAAAACTCTTGTCATTTAAGTTAGGTTTTTCTAAATGGTGTTTTCTGCTATGTAAGTTTGTGTAGTAAGTCTGTGTTTTGTTTCCATATAAATTCATCTTTCTACATATTTAAAAAAATTTTAGGTTGCGTACTCTCTAGGTTATGATGATAGATAAAAAATAAGTATCAAAATCTGTGATGGTGGGAACATTCATTTGAAGACTAAAGAGATTACAGAGCAGTATCCATTCTCGAGAGTGGACGAGTGTCACGCTAGGTCCAAACTCGGTTCTTTCCTGGTGGAAGACTGAGTTTTCGCAGTGATGCTCCAGTGGTAGTCAACCAGTGTCAGAACAGATAAACATGCCATACGGTGAAAATGGAGCCCAGAATGGACATTCAGACTACGAAGGAGTGGTTTAAATACTTTTTGTATCTAACATAGTTTGCCTTTAAATGCGAGGTGAGTACATTCTGTCTTAAGAGCCTGATTGCAGCCCCTTAGTAATGGGACATGTTGAACTGACTCTAGGGATAGTTTTTAATCTGTGTAGGCTTATTCTGTGAAGATTGCAAAGGTTTGTGTCTGCATGGCATTCAACTTTTTAGGGGAGTAGAGGTAGTTTATAGAAGCCTGGCAGTTTTTTCATAATACGACAAAAAATATTATTGATTTAAAATATATTTCTGCTTCATTGAGGGAGATTTCTAAGTAAAATAGTTTTTTCATAATATGACAAAAATATTATTGATTTAAAATATATTTCTGCTTCATTGAGGGAGATTTCTAAGTAAAATCTAAGTTCTAAGTAAAACCTTCTTAGGCCAAACTGGGAAAAGTGTATTCCTCACGGCCATTCTGTGCTGTGGTTGGTGTTTCTGGCCTAGTTCCCTCTGAGAACTGGATGGCCACGTGCACGCAGAACTGTCCAGGCCATGTCCAGAGTTCAGAGTTCACAGCATCTAGTGTGCTCAGTCAGCCAGGCAGACAGAGTCGATCGGAATGCCACATTCCTTGCTTAGAGCTCAGCTACTGAAGCTTTAGTTGAATGGAGTTTGAACAGCAACTTGATGTTCATGTTCTTTTGAACTAACAGCCACTTTTATTTTGGGTTTGTGTTTCAAAAGCAGATCTGCACTCTGCCCCTCCTGATGTCACCACGGGCCTCGTGCAGCATCAGCACGCATACTGCGAGCGTCCGCAGATGACCTCCGTGAGAGGAGTCCCTCGGGGCTGTCGCGGGAGTGTCCTAGAGACGGCAGGTGGTAAGCATGCCTCTATTCCTGCTTGAGACAGCAGAGCCCAGGCCCTGGATCTCAGGGTGCCTGGTGAGCCAGCCGTCAGGTGCAGCCCTGGTGCATTTAGACTGCCCGTGTGTGTATCATGTGGAGGAATGATCAGGAGTAGGTCAAGTCGGGAATGAGGAGAAGGAGGGAGGAGAAAGCCTTCACACTGAAGTGGATGCACAAGCTTTGGATCTGTGGTATTGTGGGAAGAGGAGAAGCTGGGGAAGTTTCTCCAGCACTGCAAGTGCAGCCAGTGATAGCTGCCCCAGTCAGTCCCTTCTGCGCTTGTACTGTTTCCTTTTGAAAGAGTTTCTGGTGTCTTTTATCAAAATCACATGAAGTTTTTCTTGCAATGTGCCAAATTTGAGTTGCAGAAAAATCCAGCAGTTCTTAGATCTGAGACCTTAACATGTTTCTAGGCTCCTGAGCAGCTGGTCTGATTTTGTTGGTGTCTTTCAGTTCCTTGTTCAGATATAAGAGGAGAAATGGAGTCAACGTGAAGCAGTCTTCTTGTTGGTTAGATAGATTAAAAAAAAAAAATTAGCTTGTTATTCTTTATATTTAAAAATTTTTAAGAACTTAGTTGAGGTGTAAATGACGTATCTACTGTGTGTATTAAAGTGTATAATTTTATAAGCTTTTAAAAAATTTTTTGTTTATTTGACTGCACCAGGCCTTAGTTGCATTGTGTGAAATCTTCAGTTTTTGTTGCGGCATGTGGGATCTGGTTCCCTGACAGGGATTGAACCTGGGTTCCTTGCATTGGAGCGTGGAATCTTGGCCACTGGACCACCAGGGAAAGCTTGACAGTTTTATAAGCTTTAAGATATATGTACTCTGTGAAATCCATACTGTAGCCAGTATACCTGGTGCTCCTGAAATCTTCCTTCCTTGTGCGCTTTTGTTACAGCTGCTTGCTGCCTTTTTTGGCTTCCCTTCAGGCAACCACTGATTTACTTCCTGACACTGTAAAGTAGTTTGCATTTTCTAGGATTTTATATAAATAGAATCACTCAGCATTTACTTTTTATTGTCTGTCTTCTGCTACCCTGCACAGTTATTTTGAAGTTCATCCATGTTCTTGCTTGTATCGTAGGTCATTCCTTTTCTTGGGAGATGAAATATCCCTGCATTTCATCTTATCAGTTCAGTTCAGTCACTCAGTTGTGTCCGAGTCTTTGGGACCACATGGACTGCAGCACGACAGGCTTCCCTGTCCATCCCAACTCCCGGAGCTTGCTCAAATTCATGTCAGTCGAGTCAGTGATGCCATCCAGCCATCTCATCCTCTGTGGTCCGTTTCTCCTCCTGCTTTCAGTCTTGCCTATCATCAGGGTCTTTTCCAGTGAGTCAGCTCTTCACATCAGCTGGCCAAAGTGTTGAAGCTTCAGCTTCAGCATCAGTCCTTCCAATGAATATTCAGGACTGATTTCCTTTAGGATGGACTGGTTGGATCTCCTTGCAGTCCAAGGAACTCTCAAGAGTCTTCTCCAACACCACAGTTCAAAAGCATCAGTTCTTCAGTGCTCAGCTTTCGTTGTGGACCAAGTCTCACATGCTATAGATGTGAGATTTCATCCTATAGATGCACCATAGTTTTATCTTTTTACCTACTGATGGGTGTTTTGGGTGTTTCCAGTTTTTGGCTGTTAGAAATAAAGTTACTGTGACTATTCCTTTACAAGTCTTTCTGTGGATATACACGTTCATTTGTTTTGGGTCAGTATCTAGGAGTAGAATAGCTGGATCATACAGTGGGTTTGAAAGAGAGAAAGTAAAGTCGCTCAGTCGTGTCTGACTCTTTGCGACCCCATGGACTATAGCCTACCAGGCTCCTCAGTCCATGGAATTTTCCAGGCAAGAGTACTGGAATGGGTTGCCATTTCCTTCTCCAGGGGATCTTCCCAACCCAGGGATCGAACCAGGGTCTTCCACACTGCAGGCAGACGCTTTATCATCTGAGCCATCAGGGAACGTTTTAGTTTTTAAAGGAATTGCCAAACTGGGACTTCCCTAGTGGCCCAGTGGTTAAGAATCTGCCTTGCAATGCAAGGGACATGGGTTCAGTCCCTGGTCAGGAAACTCAGATCCCACATGCCGCAACTACTGAGCCCAAGCACTGCAGCCACAACTACTGAGCCCAAGCACTGAGGCCACAACTAGAGAAACCGTGCACTGCAATAAAAGATCCCCATGATGCAGCTAAGACCCCACACAGCAAATAAATAAATAACTATAAATTAACATTAAAAAAAAAATAAACTGCCAAACTTATTTCCAAGTGATTGTACCATTTCACCTCCCTGGTACTGGTGATGAGAGTCCCAGTTCCCCCACATCCTTGCCAAGAATCAGTATTGTTGGTTTTCACATGCTGACCATCCTTGTAGTTGTGCAGAGGTGTCCCCTTATAGTTTTAATTTGCATCTCCCTAATGACTGATGATGTTTAGCATCTTTTCATGTGCTTATTTCCCATTTGTATATCTTTTTACAAGGGTCTGTTCAAATCTTTTGCTTGTTTTTTAAAATGTGTTGTTTGTTTTCTTAAGTTTTCAGAGTTCTTTATATAGTCTGGATATAAGTTCTGTATCAAGTTTGTAAATTTTTTTTTTCTCCCAGTCTGTGGCTTGTGCTTTCATCCTTTAATAGTGAGAGAAGTCTTTCATTTTGATGAAGTCCAGTTTACCATTTTTTTCTTTCATGGATTCTATTTTTGTGTCGTATCTAATATATATTTTCCTGACCCAAGATCTAATGGTTTTCTCCTAGAATTTTGTCGTTTTTAAGTTTTATGTTTAGGTACATGATCCATTTTGAGTTGAATTTAATATCAATGCAAGATATAATCTAAGTTTACTTTTCTGTGTATGGATGTCCAGTTATTCCAGGATCATGTAATACCCCCTCCGGTTTCTTTGGCATCTTTAATGAAGATGGACCACATATGGTGGACATATGAGAAGGGTCTACTTTGGGGATCTGTATGCTGTTCCATACAGCAGGGATCAAAACCATCCCCAGGAAAAAGAAATGCAAAAAAGCAAAATGGCTGTCTGAGGAGGCCTTACAAATGGCTGTGAAAAGAAGAGAAGTGAAAATCAAAGGAGAAAAGGAAAGATGTACCTATTTTAATGCACAGTTCCAAAGAATAGCAAGGAGAGATAAGAAAGCCTTTCTCAGCAATCATGCAAAGAAATAGAGGAAAACAATAGAATAGGAAAGACTAGAGATCTCTTCAAAAAACTTAGAGATACCAAGGGAACATTTCATGAAAAGATGGGCTCAGTAGAGGACAGAAATGGTATGAACCTAACAGAAGCAGAGGATATTAAGAAGAGGTGGCAAGAATACACAGAACTGTGCAAAAAAAGTCTTAATGAACCAGGTAACCATGATGGTGTGATCACTCACCTAGAGCCAGACATCCTGGAGTGTGAAGTCAAATGGGCCTTAGGAGGCATCACTACAAACAAAGCTAGTGGAGGTGATGGAATTCCAGTTGAGCTATTTCACATCCTGAAAGATGATGCTGTGAAAGTGCTGCACTCAATATGCCAGCAAATTTGGAAAACTGAGCAGTGGCCACAGGACTGGAAAAGGGCAGTTTTCATTCCAACCCCTAAGAAAGGAAATGCCAAAGAATGCTCAAACTACCGCACAGTTGCACTCATCTCACAGGCTAGTAAAGTAATGCTCAAAATTCTCCAAGCCAGACTTCAGTAATACGTGAACTGTGAACTTCCAGATGTTCAAGCTGGTTTTAGAAAAGGCAGAGGAACCAGAGATCACATTGCCAACATCCGCTGGATCATCGAAAAAGCAAGAGAGTTCCAGAAAAACATCTATTTCTGCTTTATTGACTATGCCAAAGCCTTTGACTGTGTGGATCACAATAAACTGGAAAATTCTGAAAGAGATGGGAATACCGGACCACCTGACCTGCCTCTTGAAAAACCTATATGCAGGTCAGGAAGCAACAGTTTGAACTGGACATGGAACAACAGACTGGTTCCAAATAGGAAAAGGAGTACGTCAAGCCTGTATATTGTCACCCTGCTTATTTAACTTATATGCAGAGTATAGCACGAGAAATGTTGGGCTAGAGGAAGTAAAGCTGGAATCAAGATTGCTGGGAGAAATATCAGTAACCTCAGATATGCAGATGACACCACCCTTATGGCAGAAAGTGAAGAACTAAAGAGCCTCTTGATGAAAGTGAAAGAGGAGAGTGAAAAAGTTGGCTTAAAGCTCAACATTCAGAAAACTAAGATCATGGCATCTGGTCCCATCCCCTCATGGCAAATAGATGGGCAAACAGTGGGAGGAGTGACTGACTTTATGTTTGGGAGCTCCAAAATCACTGCAGATGGTGATTGCAGCCATGAAATTAAAAGACACTTACTCCTTGGAAGGAAAGTTATGACCAACCTAGATAGCATATTAAAAAGCAGAGACATTACTTTGCCAACAAAGGTCTGTCTAGTCAGGGCTATGGTTTTTCCAGTAGTCATGTATGGATATGAGAGTTGGAAAGCTGAGCACTGAATTGATGCTTTTGAACTGTGGTGTTGGAGAAGACTCTTGAGAGTCCCTTGGACTGCAAGGAGATCCACCCAGTCCATCCTAAAGGCGATCAGTCCTGGGTGTTCATTAGAGGGTCTGATGTTGAAGCTGAAACTCCAATACTTTGGCCACCTGATGCGAAGAGCTGACTCACTGGAAAAGACCCTGATGCTGGGAAAGATTGAGGGCAGGAGGAGAAGGGGACGACAGAGGATGAGATGGTTGGATGGCATCACTGACTCAATGGACATGAGTTTGGGTGGACTCCGAGAGTTGGTTTTGGACAGGGAGGCCTGGCGTGCTGCAGTTCATGGGGTCGCAAAGAGTTGGACATGACTGAGCAACTGAACTGAACTGAACTGATCCTGTTCCAATGCGTTTTCTGTCTTTATATCAGTACCACACTGTCATGATTTTATATATGTGGGTTTTATATGTGGTTTTATAACAAATCTTAAAATTGTGTACTGTAGTTTCCCTTCAGCTCTTCATTAAAAAAATTGCCTTACCTATTCTAGCTCCTTTGTATCTTAATGTATAGTTTAAAATCCATTTAAAATTTCTCCCATTTTTAATTTCTACCAAAATTCCTGCTTGGTTTTGATTGGTACTTCATCGACTTTCTAGATCAGTTTGGAGAGAATTGGCCTCTTCACAGTGTTGTACATTTCAATTGATAAATATGATATATCTCTCCATTTACTTAGCACTTAAAAATTTTTTTTCAGCACTGTTTTTGTAGCTTTCAGTGTACAGGTGTTGCACATATTTTGTTAAAATTATCTCAAAATATGTTATATTTTTAGATACTATTACAAGTGATATTTAAATTTTTTCCCAGCTGTTTATTGCTAATCTTTAGGAACATAGTTGATTCTTGTATGTTGACCTTACATTAATTCTAGTAGCCTTTTTGGTAGATTCTATAAGATTTCCACGTGCATGACCATGTTGTCTATGAATACACTTTTACTTTTCTTTCCAAATTGTCCACCTATAGGAATATTTGGTTTCCTGGCTTTGTCATAGTGTCTAGGACTTCCATTTGTGTTGGTTAGAAATGTTGAGAATGGACACAACTTGCCTTGTTTCCCATTTAAGGGGGAAAACATGCACTTTTTCAATTTTTTATTGTGATGTTAACCATGGATTTTTTAAAAAAATAGTTGCTCTTTTTCAGGTTGGGGGCATTCCTTTTTTCCCTCTAGTTTGCTGAAAAGTTTTTATCATGATTTTTGTTAAATGATTTTTAAAATCTGTTAAGCTCATCATATGGTTTTTCTTCCCTAGTTTGTTAATATAATACATTTCATTGACTGACTTTTGAAGATTAAGCCAAAGGAGGTATGTTCTCAAGGTAAACCCCTCTTGGTTGTGGTGTCCTGCTCTCTGACATATTGTGGATTTGATTTACTAGTATTTTTTTTAGAATTCGTGTCTGTGTTTGAGATAAATACTGGTCTGATATTTTTGTATGGTTTGGTGTCAGGATAGTACTCATCTCAGGATGAATTGAGAAGCGTTCCTTCCTCTTCTGTTTTCTAATCAGAGGAAACAGACTTTCTGTCTCGAGTCAGGTCTGTGTCTTTGGAGGAGTCGTCCATCCCATCTGTTCTCCAGTCCCCCTGTCGACCTTGCGTGTGCAGGACCCGTGGTGCTGGCTCACTGTCTTAGTTGTTAGGGTCTCCTTTCTTCGTCTTAATCCTCTTAGCTAGTGAGCTAATTGAATTTTATCTTTCAAAGAACCAGTTTTAATTTAACTGTTTTTCTCTATTGTTTATATTTTCTCTGTTATGCTTATTTCTACTCATCTATGTTACTTCTCTCCTTCTACTTACTCTGTGTTTCCTTTGCTTTTTTTTTTTTTTCAGTTTCTTTTTTTAAATCCAGAATATATTCATTGGGATGTTTTTCTGTTCATCTTGATTCAAGGTGCTTTTGGGGCTGCCACACCTACCTTCTTGAATCGTCTGTGCTGCTTTTGTGATGACGGAGATGGTGCCACGGTCCCAAATACTCTCTATAAGTCCTTAAAGAAGTTTCCAACTCCTAGTATAGGAAAATAAGCAGAACATACAGACAATTCACAAAAAAAGATATAAAAATAGCTCTTAAACATGCTGTTCATTCTTTTTTGTTACTAGAGAGATCCACATTGTTGGTGGGAATGCAAAGTAGGTCAGCCTCTCTGAGGGAGCAGCTGTTAAAATCTGTGTCTGTGCTTCCATTTGTATCAGCAGCGCAGCATGGGCATTTACCCCGAGTGCACACCTCCAGAAATCAGGAAGTGTGTACATGCAAGCTCACTCACTGCTGAGCTGTCTGTGCTTGCAAAACACTGGGGCCTGCCTGCCTGCCATCCAGGCCTCTCAGACTGTGGGCTAAACTGGGAGCAGTCACATGGTGGAGGACTGGGCAGCTCTCAGGAGCAGTGGGAACTGCCTGCCGTCCAGGCCTCTCAGATTGTGGGCTAAACTGGGTACATTCACATGGTGGAGGGCTGTGCAGCTTTCAGGAATAGTGAGAAGCTCTTTATGACCTGGAATGAGGGTGTTTTCCAGGAGGTGTTACGTGAAAAGGCAAAGAGGAAAGGAACGTTCATAATTTACCACCTCCCTTGTGAGAAGCAGGAGAACAGCCAACAGGAGGGAGGAGCCAGAACGCATGGGTTGGTCCTGCAGAGGACGGGGTGGGGTGGCCAGGAATTTAGGGCAGAGTGACAGTTGTTCGAGTTTATCTTTTTATATAGTTGTGATTCTTAGACATATGTTCTGCACATTTAAAACATAAACTAAAAGATGAGAAGAATGGGGGAATCCCAAAATGGAAAAGAATTGTAAATAAATAAGTCTGATTGTATTCCCAAGAACTGCATAGCCACCCTTGAGGGGTGGGGGACGGAGCTGTCAGTGGGAGACGCAGTACCCTCAGTCCTGGGCAAGGCTAACCAGCCCGAACTCTCGTTGGTAGCTGTTCCTGTGTTGGTTTGGGTAGGACTCGGGGAATTATGTCACGTCTGTGATGGTGCAGCACTGTGGTGTTGCTGTTGGGGGCCAGGCTCCTGCTGTGGAGAAGAGGTGTCTGACAGGGACCTCAGCACCAGGGTGCTGTGTGGACCCTGGATTCTAAGACAGGGACCTGTGTGTGTGCTGCTGCCTGCGTGCATGGGTGTGTTGTGTATGGGGTGTGTGCACATCCATGAGTGTGCATGCGTGTGCATGTACACAGGCTTTTTAGCTCTGTGTGCTAGAGGAAGCAAAGACTGCAATAGCAGGGAGCGTATCTCACCACTGTCTTGGTCTTCGGTAGCTTTTCTCAGGAGAGCCGGTAAGGAAGGAAGGAAGTCAGGTGGCAACTGTTAGTGTCAGTGGGCTGCTTAAGTTGAAATATAATTGCAACCATTGCAATAAAACTTGCATCTGACAGAGCGGTGGTGGCTGTTACACGGAGGGAGAGAGCTGGATGGGGGTCAGGGTATTTGTGAGGTCTTGAAGGGTCTCCTCTCACAGTGCTTGTTAGTTGCACTAGAAAAAAATAGTGACAACAGTGGAGCGCTGGACAGCAGTGTGCCCAGAACCTCAAGAGAGCAGTGGGGGTCCTGTGCATCTGGATGTGAGTCTCAGGTGCTGTTTAGCCAGCAATGCGATATCTGAATTGAATCCTGAGAAAACGTCAAGCAAATGCAGAGTAAGGCATGTTCTACTTAATAAAGGAAAGAGCCAGACTCTTTCAAAGTGCTGCTATCATCAAGGGGCCTGCCAGAGGCCAAGCCAGTGAATGCAGATTTCTGTTGTTGACCTCGCCCAGGAGAAGGGAGGTGCCACACACCTCTTGGTGCACAGGGGTGGCTGGGGCGCCAGGCCTTTTTCTCACCACTTCTACCAGCGCACTCGCCCGTGTTCCCTGTGCCTTTTCCTCCGAGGACTTGTCACTGTGGTGGCTGCCCTTTTTTGCTGGCACATGTACATATTTTTGTTTCTTTCCATGCAGCAGACTGTGAGGTGTTTGAGGGCAGACTTACCTGTTGGCTAACTTTACATCCCCCAGAACAGCATTTCTTAATAATTAATGAGGGCACCAAAGAGCTTTTAGCTTATGTGGGTTATCTCTGGGTATTTACCATATTAGAAATTAAAGATTTGTTAAAATATTTATTAACTTATTGAAAAATAGCAATACCGAACTCATTACATCTTAGCGTGAACAGCACACAGTCACAGGAGCAGCTCCCATGCAGTGAGGTGCCGTGAGAGAGCAGGCTTGTTTGCAGGTGTGAGAGCAGCGTCTGCATGATTCCCATCTGCTGGGTGCCCACACTGTGCAGCCTCTGGAAACCTCCACTGTGCATGTAAAAGAGAGGAGAGGAGAGCGAATGGCATCTCATGTGACCTCACGAAGCCCCTGAAAGGGCCTTGGGCACTCCTAAGGGTCCCTGGGCCACTCTGAAAACCACTGGCTCGGAATAAGTTCTGGCCCTGGAAGGCGTCAGTAAATGTCTGTCAGATGAACTGATAAATCCCAGGCTGGCCATCGGATGGACCATCAAAGCTCGGCCAGGTTCACGAGTTGTGATGCGCTCGCGTGGTTGACCTCTGGCCTCAGCGCTCTCTTCCTGTGGCATGGCAGGTGTCCCCGTGAGCAGCAGGGTGTCCTCCAAGATCCAGCAGCTCCTGAACACCCTGAAGAGGCCAAAGCGCCCTCCCCTGAAAGAGTTCTTCGTGGATGACCTCGAGGAGCTGTTGGAGGGTGAGCGCTCGACCCTGGCCCTCCAGTTTGTGCGAGCAGGGCACTGCCGGGTGTGATGACAGGGTTATCCCCGCGGCAGATGCAGAAAAGCATGCTCTGTGTCCAGGCTCCGGTCACAGTGTGTGTAGTGACCTCCCATCACACCTGATCCCGGCACTGTGTGCACCAGGTGTAGCTAAGAGCTGGCGTCTCTGTGCCTTGCCTCCTGGTAAGACTCTATGTGTAGGAATACATCTAAGACTTCAGTTTATCTCCATGATTTAAGTTTTTATTTAAACTCTAAGTCTGAGCTACTTGTCTTCTCTTGGTCTTAAAGCATTGTGTTTTCAGCAAAGTTTGGGCTCTTCTTTAGAATTTCTGCCTGTCATTTATGAATTTTATATATATATTTAGGAAAGAAGAGCATAGACTTACTGAGAAGTATAAATCTATAGGAGAGGAGAAGTCAGGTCCCATACAAGACTCCAGCGTGTGACGTGTCATCGTGGCCTTGGGGCCACCTGGCCCCCCAGCCCTTGGTTTCAGCACCACTGCCGGGCAGTTGCCCCTTAGGCCAGCTCTGGTGTCTCCCCCTACCTGGGGGTTAGCGTGTCTGTTAGGGCTTGTCTGTGTAATCACATCACGCCTTTCAGATTCAGAGTTCAATTCCATGAATGCTTTTTAGAAAGTCTTTCTTACATTTGGGCAAATCGTGGTTACATATCCACTGAAAATATAATAGATTTTACTTTATTTTTTTTCTTCCAACATGGTTTGAGTCCAAACTGCAGTGGTTATTCTGTTCTCATTCTTCAAAAGTGAGGACACCTGCTTCTCAGTTGTCTTCAGGTGAAAGCCTGGGGTCTTTGTGTCTCTGGTTACAGTCACAGGACTCATCCTGATTTCTTTCCATCCTTGGTTAGCTGGTCTGTGACTATTGTAATGATAAGGAAATTTGAAGAAGTGATGGTAGCCTCTTTAGAGTTGGTGCTTTTGAAGAAGAGAATGATAAAACGTAAGCCTAACAAGCAGAGTGTGTGCCTGGTTCTGGAAATGCTGGTCTTCACGTGTCCATTTCGCTTGCAGTGCAGCAGCCGGATCCGAACCAGCCGAAGCCCGAGGGCAGCCAAATGGCGGTGCTGCGAGGGGAGCCGCTGGCCGAGGGCTCCTGGCCACCCTCGCTGCTGGCCGCCTTGCAGCAGTGGGGTACCACACAGCCCAAAGCTCCGTGCCTGACTGCCCTGGACACCGCCGGGAAGGCCGTCTACACCCTCACCTATGGCGAGTATCAGCAGGAGGCGAGGGGCCACACAGATGTGAGCTCGCGGGGCAGGGGAGAGCAGATTCCTGACGATCTGACACAGCGGGTGGGGAAACAGCCTTGCCTCACCTTCCCACCCGCTGCCCTTCCCACCAGCAGGGACCACCCCCTGTACGCCACGTCTCTGTGTGCCTTTCTGACCAGTGGAGTTCAGTTTTGTTTCATTTCGAACTTTGTAAAAATGGCATTAAGCAGTGTTTTTTTTTGGTTTGGCATTTTTTGGTTCCATTTTTGTTTTTACGTAACACAAATCACGTGCTTTGGGCTCAGTGTGTTTTCGTGGAACACTTGGCCCCGAAGTACTGCTGGTGCCCAGGCTGGCGTCGCCCAAAGCCAAGGCCAGTGCCCTGCTGACCACAGGTGTGAGTACGTCCCGCCTGCCTGGGCTGTGTCATGCTCGGCACTGTCTGGGACTCACCCATGTACCGTGTGGTCAGTTCATCCTCGTCCGTGGGTGTTGTTTCATCCGTCTGCTGACGTCCGCGCTGCACAGTCTGTGGACATCTGGGTTGTGTCCACGGCGGGGCTGCTGCGTGTTGTACTGTTGTGATCATTCTCTGTGGGTCTTTGGTGGACGTGTATTAGGCATCTGTGCTGCTGTGGGCATGGGGTGACTGGCCGCGCAGTTTCAACACCCCGACTCAGTGCTGGACCCTGTCTCCTTTCTCCTTCCTGGGGAGTGTCCATCACGGTGCCCAGTTCAGTGCTGACTCTGGCTTCCTGGTGCTCAGGGTGCTTCTCACATGCTTGTGGGCTATGTGAGCCCTCTTTCTAGGAAGTACCCGGATCTTTAGCTCATTTCTCTGTCCATTTGCTGATGCTTTTTATGTTTCAGTTAGGCACCTTTTCTCCAGTACAAGTTTTGCAAATGAATTCTTCCACGCTTTGTACTGCCTTTTAACACTTTTCACTGTGACTTTAGATAAATAAGAGGCCTTAGCCTAATGCAGTCTAATTTATGTATTTTCCCGCTTCTCTGGGCTTTCTGTCCAGTGTTGGAAGCCTTTGCCAAACCTTAGGTCACACAGGTTTTCTCCTGCCTTCTCATCTGGAGACGCCTTTTACTTTTCATACTTAGTGCTACGATCTATTTGCAGTTTTCTTTTGTGTAGAGTGAACTTGGACTCATTTTCTCTCCTCTGAATGTAATTGATCCACGATCATTGGTGAGAAGCAGCACTTCACCCAGGGACGGCTTTGCGGTCCAATGGCTTTTCACCAGGTGAAAGATGTGCTTGTGGGTCTGGTCTGTCTTACTGTCTGCCATTCGTCCTGGCTTCCTGAGTCACTGGAGCTGTGAGTCAGTGTCGGATGTCAGTCCTTCTGCTCTGTGATTGATTCTCAGAATTTCCTTGACTCTTCTTGGCTCTTTGCATTTCCAAGTAAACTTTAGAATCACTGCATCCATTCCAGAAAAAATCCTCCAGGAGAGTGACCGACACTGCATTGAACCCATCCGTGTCGCTGTGATTGCGGAATCCTCCAGTTTTCAACCCTGGAATGTTCCGCTTTCAAGGTCTGCTTTAGTTTCTCTCAGTGAAGGCTTATACTTTTGAGTTCAGGAACCTTGAACTTCTTTTGTTAGATTTATTCCTATTGGAATGGAATGATTAAGTCTTTTCTATGCCTTGTGGCCTGTATATAGAAAAGCAATTGCTTTTTTAAATGGTGACTTTGTATCTGGTGATCTTGCTAAAGTGATACCTTAGTTCTTTTTGATCTCTTAGTGAGTAGTCCTGAGCATGCTGTTCACAGTCAAGTACCTATGGGCAGTGATCTGTCATCCTGGCCTTCCTGGTGCTTCTGTCCCTGGGGGCCACCAGTGCATTGTGAGCCCTTCCCCGTCTCAGATGGACAGCACTTGGTCTTGATCTAGATGTTTACTGTAGCTTTCTTGCTTGTTTTATGGTAGAAATTCTTCATCAGGTTAATGAAGTTCACTTCTATTCCTAATTTGCTAAAAGCTTTTTGACATGCATTGACTTTTTCTGCTTCCTCAAGATGATCGTGTGACTTCTCTGTTCTCCTCTACTAGTTTGATGAGTTGCTGTTGTTTTGTCCGTCTGTTGTGTCTGACTTCTTGCGACCTGATGGACTGCAGCACACCAGACTTCCCGTCCTTCACCATCTCCCGAAGCTTGCTCAAACTCACGTCCATTGAGTTGGTGATACCATCCAGTCATCTCATCCTCTGTCACACACTTTTTCTCCTGCCCTCAGTCTTTCCCAGCATCAAGGTCTTTTCCAGCGAGTGGGCTGTTTGCGTCAAGTGGCCAAAGTATTGGAGTTTCAGCTTCAGCATCAGTCCTTCCAATGAATATTCAGGACTGATCTCCTTTAGGATGGACTGGTTGGATCTCCTTGCAGTCCAAGGGACTTTTAAGACTCTTTTGCAGCACCACAGTTCAAAAGCATCAGTTCTTTGGCACTCAGCCTTCTTGATGATCCAACTTTCATGACCACTAGAAAAACCATAGCTTTAACTATATGGACCTTTGTCAGCAAAGTGATGTCTCTGCTTTTTAATACACTATCTAGGTTTGTTATAGCTTTTCTTCCAAGGAGCTAGCGTCTTTGTAATTTCATGGCTCTAGTCCCTGTCTGCAGTGATTGGGAGCCCAAGAAAATAAAATCTGTCACTGCTTTCACTTTTCTCTCTTCTATTTGCCATAAAGTGATGGGACTGGATGCCATAATCTTAGTTTTTTGAATGTTGAGTTTTAGGGCAGCTTTTTCACTCTCCTCTTTCACCCTCATCAAAAGGCTCTTTAGTTCTTCTTTATTTTCTGCCATTAGAGTGTTGTCATCTGCATGTCTGAGGTTGTTGATATTTCTCTCTTAATTTCAGCTTGTGAGTCATATACAGTCTAGATGTACTCCTTTCCCAATTTTGAACTAGTTCATTGTTCTGTGTCTGGTTCTAACTGTTGCTTCTTGACCTGCATACAAGTTTCTCAGGAGGCAAGTAAAGTGGTCTGGTGTTTCTGTCTTTTTAAGAATTTTCTACAGTTTGTTGTGATCCACACAGTCAAAGGCTTTAACGTTGTCAGTGAAACAGATGTGTTTTCTGGAATTTTCTTGCTTTTTCTATGATCTAATGGATGTTGATGAGTTCCATTGGATAATTTTCAAATGTTAAGCAGCCTGTGCATTCCTAGAATAGATCCCACTTGGCCCTAGTATCTTTAAGTAAAAGCCTGAGTTCTGTTTGCCAATATGTTGTTTGCAGGCTTTGTACCTGTGCTCATTAGAGAGATGAGTCTGTAATTCTTTAGGAAAGGAGCTTACTGCCCACTTGTGAGGACAGCCTTCACCTGTCCAATTCAGCTTTTGGGTCCAGGTTGCATGAGGGGTGGGGATAGGACCTGTGTCCTGCTCAGCCAGTACTGTCCTTGGCAGTGTCCAGCAGCTGCAAGGCCGCTGTCGACTCTCCCCTTCACGGGCCCTTCTCGAGCCTCGTTCTGCCTTGGTGCTTCCCAAAGATCCCGGCCTGAGGCCCTTGCCTCCTTGTCCTGCATCTTAAGTCTGTACCCACTATGCCCATACGACACCATTCGCTGCTCTGCTTCTTAAGTCAGGACTCGTGCTGTTTTCTTTCCTGGGCTAAATGTTCCGTCTTACCTCCCTGTTTCTCCCATCACCTCTCCTCTGGCTGCGGGACTTCCTGCATCTCCCTCTTAGAAGGGGGTCAGGGCTGTTGGGCTCTGCAGGCTTGGTGATGCCTTCTGAAAAGTTAGAGGCCAGGCTGCTGCCACTCTCTGAATGATGGGTTGTCTCATCCCTCTATGGCTTTTGGCTCTGCCTTGGGTCTGTCTTGCTGTGATGCATTTAGCTGTGATGTTCTTTGGAAGCTTCTGCTCAGGGACCACATGCCTTCTTAAATCTATGGAGTGGTATCTTTCATCAGTTTCTGGAAAATTACACCCATAAGTTCTTGATATAGTGTTTCTTCCCCATTTATCTCTCCTGGCCTTCTGGGCTCTGACTGCATTTATATTAATACCTTCTCTGAGTCCCATGCACCTTTAATAATCTTCTTTTATATTTTGCATTCTTTTTTATATATACTTCAGTTTGGAGATCTTCTGTTTTCCTTTATTCAGATTCTCTAAACTGGTGTATTCTGAGTGACCTCATCCACAATCTTTGTCTTATATAGTGACTTGAGGGCTCTGAATGGCTTCTCCAAGGCTTCCACTTGCATGCATGGCTCAGGGATTCAGTAGACTCTTCTTGGGGCCCTGGTCTCCATGCCCCAGCAGCAGCAATTGATGGGCATAAGACCATGAGGCGCTGATATCCTATGGGTGGCAGGACCCCAAACACCCCAGTTTTTGCAAGAACAGCTGTGGAAGATCAGCACCCCTCCCCAGGGGTCAACTCCTTGGAGTCAACTCCCCCAGCAGATGGTCTTGCATTTTATCCAGCTTTAAACTCATTTTGGATGGGAGTGCTGCTCTGCCATCCATCACTGCCCGTTCCTGCTTGGCAGTGGAGCCTCTTACTATATGCATTAAGAGTCATCCGTATTGTTGTATATAGTTGTGGCTCATTCATTCCCATTGAGGAATGAATACTATTTCAGAATATGTGTATCCATCATCCTATTGGTAGACACTGGGTCATTTCCATCTTGATTGTTACAGTCAGTGCTGCCTGGTACACAAGCGTGCATTCTTGTAGAGCTTGTATTAACATTAGGAGACGACGCGGTAGCTCGGTCTAGGATAATGACATCTTTACCTTTGTCAGGTAATTCCAGACCTTTCCAGTTTGCACTCAGCTACCTGGTGTGTGAGTCCCTCTCCCTGCCACTGGCTGCACTACCTTGAGCTAATCTGCTGAGAACATAGTGACAGTCATTGTGGTGCTAATCCGGTGATGGCTGATACACTGCGGTCTTGCCCTGTTTTCATCCTTTAGGTTTTCTCTTTTGTTAAATGCTGTTGAGTCTTCTGCACATTTTTACACAGGTCTGTTTGTAGCATTGCTGTGTTCTGGATATCTGTACTTGTCAGCAGCTTGTGCTACAAGTGTTGCCAGCCACGGGTCCTGACTGCTCACGGCTGCACGGCTAGCCTCCCCCTTCCCTCCTGGGCTGGAGCACTGCTGTTCTGCCATCTGCATGGAGACCCGCCACCTGCTGGAGGGCGTGTGTGTGTGGTGTTTGTGACAGTGTGTGTATGTGTGGCGTGTGTGTGTGGTATGTTGTAGTGTATGTGTGTGAGGGGTCCAGACGCACCTCTCCAGCAGCTGTGGCACTGCTGGGTCACCGAGCATCTCCCTGACTGTTCTCTTGAGTGAAGAGCAGAAATGAAGATAGGACCCACCTTGTGAATTATTGTTGTAGAGGTGAAATGAACTTCGTGCCACTTGTGTAAGGGGATGAGTGAGACATAGTGGAATGAAAATGCATTCACCATGATTTCACACTTGATTAAACTAAGAGTGAAGTGTTAATATGATCCCATTTTTAAAAAATTATGCATATTATGTGTGTGTATACACATACGTACATAATAGAAAGAATGCTTTTTTCAGCTGGCTTTTCTGTATTTTGAATTTTTTTTAAAATAAAATATTTTTCTGTTAAGAAAAATAAATCTGTAACTTGTTTCTAAGAGAAAACTATGATGTTCTTTATCACATTGTGCAAAATAACTATCAATTGGCAACTATTAATATCTGCATTTTCACAATAGAGTAATAATGGTATATTGTGGAGTGTTGTGATTGCTACATTAAAATGGTAATTATTAGTTTCTTAAATTTTACATTGTTTGTATTTTTATTTTATTTTAGGCAAACTTTGGAGTCGAAGTTTAAAACTAGCTTATACGCTACTTAATAAACTGACTAATAAGAACGAACCACTGCTTAAACCTGGAGACAGAGTAAGTAACCAAATGAACCTTTGTTGGAGGGAGTGAGTGAGAGTGGAGGCCAAAACTCCGTTTTGTTGACATCAGTGCTGTCGATTATTTTGACTCACAGCATTAACACAAGCAGTTTAAGTCAGCAGTGAAAAGCACTGAATGTTGGGAAAGTTTATGTTGATGCAGATAAAACGATGGTTCCTTTTATTCTCACTCATTGCACAGTCTCTGATTCTTCACTTTCTTTTCTGTTCCACTTCATATGTGTTGGTTTTAATAAAAATATTAATCTCAGGTATTAATGTTCCATTTCCAAAGCTGATATTTTGTAAGGAATTGCTGATGTTACTTTGAAGTTCTGGGTGTTTTGTATTCATCCCCTAGCCTGTTCCGTGTGGCCAGGAAGCCCCTTCTTTCCCGCTGGCCAGAATGGAACAGGGGAGGCTGTTGGCCTGCACTCCCACCAGTGCAGTTCCTCATCCTGCACTGCCCAGCACGGTCCACAGTGGCTCCATGGGCTGTTCAAATTAACCCAAGAGTTGTGTGAATCCTGTTTCCGAGGATCAGTCAGTCACTGCTTGTGACCGACAGCTAGCATATTTAATAGAGAAGGAATGCTGAGAAGGAACGTTTCCGCTATTGTGGGAAGTTCTGCCCACAGTACTGCTCTCGGCAGTCTGAGCCAGACATAAGGAGGCCAGGTATAACAGGGAGTTCAGAATGGTGAAAACCAGCCCGCTCAGCAGTGACGTCCCCTGTGAGGAGGGGTGCCTGAGGTCAGCGCACCCAGCAGAGGAGCTGTGAGTGGACAGGATGATGCTGAGTTTCAGGCATCTCTCCAGGCGCCTCAGTCTTTAATGTAAATCAGCAGCCAAGGATGTGTAAGGACAGAAACTTGGGTGTGAAAGAGAAGAACCAAAGGGCCAAGAAATGGGCAGATAAATTAAAGGAGAGGTGGGGGAGAAAGGTCACAAGAAACTGTGGGAAATTCTTAAAGAGATGGGAATACCAGACCACCTTACCTGCCTCCTGAGAAATCTGTATGCAGGTCAAGAAGCAACAGTTAGAACTGGACAGGGAATAATGACTGGTTCCAAATTGGGAAAGGAGTACGTCAAGGCTGTATATTGTCACCCTGCTTATTTAACTTATGTGCAGAGTACGTCATGTGAAATGCCAGGCTGGATGAAGCACAAGCTGGAATCAAGATTGCTGGTAGAAATATCAGTATCCTGAGATATGCAGATGACACCACCCTTATGGCAGAAAGTGATGAAAAACTAAAGAGCCTCTTGTTGAAAGTGAAAGAGGAGAGTGAAAAAATTGGCTTAAAACTCAGCATTCAAAAAACTAAGATCATGGCATCCAGTCGCATCACTTCATGGCAAATAGATGGGGAAACAATGGAAAGCAGTGAGACTTTATTTTTCTGGGCTCCAAAATCACTGCAGTTGGTTATGCAGCCATGAAATTAAAAGATGCCTGCTCCTTGGAAAAAAAGCTATGACCAACCTAGACAGCATATTAAAAAGCAGAGGCATTACTTTGTCAACAAAGGTTCGTCTAGTCAAGGCTATACTTTTTCCAGTAGTCACATATGGATGTGAGAGTTGGACCAGAAAGAAAGCTGACCACCAAAGAACTGATGCTTTTGAACTGTGGTGTTGGAGAAGACTCTTGAGAGTCCCTTGGACTGCAAGGAGATCCAACCAGTCCATCTTTTTTTTTTTTTGTTTGTTTGTTTTTTGTTGTTATCTGAAGTCCATAGTTTATTCATGTGTCATTACTTTTTAACCTAGTCCAACCAGTCCATCTTAAAGGAAATCATCCTGAATATTCTTTGGAAGGACTGATGCTGAAGCTCCAATACTTTGGCCACCTGATGCAAAGAACTGACTCATTGGAAAAGCCTCTGATGCTGGGCAAGATTGAAGGCAGGAGGAGAAGGGGACGACAGAAGATGAGAGGTTGGATGGCATCACTGATTTGATGGACATGAGTCTGAGCAGGCTCTGGGAGTTGGTGATAGACAGGGAAACCTGGTGTGCTGCAGTCCACGGGGTCGCAAAGAGTCGGACACGACTGAGCAACTGAACTGAACTGGGGGAGAAAGGAAGGGAGGAAGAGGAAATAAACCAGCCTGGAGGAAAGATAGAGGCCGAAAATAAGTTTTTAAAAATATTAGTATTAACATCCCTGGAGATCTGATGTGAGGATATATCTCTGTAAATCAAGGAAAAGATAATAATAGGGGAGACTTGAGAGATGGAAAGTAGGAAGAACAGTGCAGGTTAGACTTGATCATGAAGGCTGCCCTCTAAGATGACTTCTAGAGGAGAGAGGGGAATTATGCATCGTAATAGTGATGCCAGACCATTTCCAGACCTGGGGTGAAGGACCTGTGGGGATGCAGGAGCCCACACCGAGGCGCCTGCCCAGGTACTGGAAGGTGGGCACAGCTTTAAGGGAGAGTGGGCTGTCCGGGAAGACCCAGCAGCCCCAGGGCTGGGCTTGTTGCTGGGCTTCTTGGTGTGATGCTGGAGGACATGGAGCTGTATTTTCAACCTTCAGGCCTGTTCCTGGGCAGTCCACAACGATGAGGATGGGGCACTGTTTTCAGACAGGCAGCACTCGGACAGTCACAGAAGTGAGGATGGAGCACTGTTTTCAGACACGTTGCACTCAGATAGTCACAGAGGTGAGGACAGGGCACTGTTTTCAGACAGGTAGCACTCAGACAGCTGTCTCGGGAAGTTAGCAGAGGAAGTACTTGAGCATATGAGTGAGTGGTCAGACAGGAGAGCTACCAGGGTGACCTCAAGCTGTGGGCCAAGGAGCAGCCCAGACTGGACCAGGAGGATGAGGCCCCAGGTAGGCTGGCTGGTCAGCAGCTGGTGAAACTGTGAGCTTACCTGCCTGGCTAGTTATTTGGAAATACTACTGACCGGGTTTGACAACCCAGTGGAGCATTTCTGAGAAAGCTGGCTGGTGCACACAGGGAATGAAGCTGGTGAAAGAGGCAGTGACTGTCCCACCAGAAGACAGGGCGGAGCTTGGCTGTGGAAGTGTGAATGGTACCAGACGATACTTTGTGTACCTGATGCTTTAGGACACACCTGCTGGAAACCCGGACTCATGCTGTGCTTTACAATGAGTCTAAGAATCACTCATTACTTTGTCTGGAGGAAAGTTCTTGCAAGGACATACTTACAGATATTTTATTGACTTGTAAGTGGATACACATAGTTGGGTTAGTTATAAAAAGGCTGACGAGATCACAGAAAGTTAGTGATCGGAGGTGGGTGGCAAGTTCATCCTCCTGTGGTAATGTATTTTTTAAAATTGAACAGACACAACTCTTTATAAGAGATTCTCTAAAAACGCGTTCAAATCAGTTGCTCAGTCGTGTCCGACTCTTTGCAGCCCCATGAACTGCAGCATGCCAGGCTTCCCTGTCCATCACCAACTCCCCGAGCTTGCTCAAACTCATGTCTATCAAATCAGTGATGCCATCCAACCATCTCATCCTCTGTTGTCCTCTTCTTCTCCTGCCTTCAGTCTTTCTCAGCATCAGGGTCTTTTCCAATGAGTCAGTTCTTTGCATTAGGTGGCCAGAGTATTGGAGCTTCAGAATCAGCATCAGTCCTTCCAATGAATATTCAAGTATATGCTCTACCAAACATCCAGTCTCAAGGCTCACAGTCCTTTTAGTGGGACGAACACTTATTAACATCAACCTTCAAAGGAGATCTTTGCCATTGTCAAGAAACTTGTTAGAAACTTGATTTCCAGGCCTCACATACAGAGTGAATATAGATGTAGCTCAAGTTTTGTCTTGTTAAAGGGTTATTAGTTATCCAAGGCTCTGTGTTAAGAATCTCCTCATATACTATTCTGGCTTACCATTCAGGTTTCAGGCACACTTATTACAATGTTACAGGCTTACAAATACTCCTAAATAGCTTTTGATTTAACCAGATTTTGTAAGACATGGAAGTTGGGATGATGGGAGAAGAGAGAGGGGAAGAGGGCAGAGGACTCAGGGTTCGTCTGCTGTAAAAGGAAGTAAAGCGCCTGTCCAATAGCTTCAGACATGAGATGCAGCAAGATGAGCACAGTGTCTGAAAAGACGAGAGAGTTGGCTAAGGGAGGGTTTAAGATGTGTTAGAAGTGGTTGCCTTGGGGGGTGGGGAAGGGTGTAGGGTGCTGGTTTTCATTAGTCCTTTTTGTCATTTTAAATCTCTGTGCTCAAAAAAGATTTTTTTTTATAAAAATGTAAGATAAATGTAATAGAATATGTAATTTTGGGGGCCATGCTTGTGGCATATGGGATCTAGTTCCCTAACCAGGGATCAGACCTTGGTCCCCTGCATTGGGAGTGTGAAGTCTTAACCACTGGACCACCAGGGGGTCCTGAGAACATGTGATTTAAACTGTGGCAGCATGATGAGCAGATGAGAGCAGGGAGAGGACCCCCTGTGGAGACTCAGGGAGCGGGCAGGTGTGGGGGGCGGGGTCTTGCGAGGTATTCTATGCCCCCAGCTCTCCGCTGTTAGCGTTTCAGTCTTGAGTGAAGATCTGGCCAATTAAACTTCAGTGTCCAGATTTTCCCTTTTGGAAGATATTTGGATATACTTTGATTCCGGGTTCTCTTTTCATGTCCAGGTGATTTTCTCCTGGGCTACTTGATGGTGGGTGGTGGTCCATCACACCATCCCTGAGTGGTCAGAGTGGATGGAGGTGGATCTAGACCCACTGGCAGACCCGGCCCAACTTGCTTTGCCAGACTTGCTTTTTATTAGGCCCAGGAATTTATTATTTTTTATTTTTTAATTTTTATTGATTTATTTATTTTTATTTTTTTTTTTCCATTTATTTTTATTAGTTGGAGGCTAATTACTTTACATCATTGCAGTGGTTTTTGTCATACATTGAAATGAATTAGCCATGGATTTACATGTACTCCCCATCCCGGTCCCCCCTCCCACCTCCCTCTCCACCCAATCCCTCTGGGTCTTCCCAGTGCACCAGGCCCGAGCACTTGTCTCATGCACCCATCCTGGGCTGGTGATCTGTTTCACCCTAGATAATATACATGTTTCGATGCTGTTCTCCCACCCTCGCCTTCTCCCAGAGTCCACAAGTCTGTTCTATACATCTGAGTCTCTTTTTCTGTTTTGCATATAGGGTTATCGTTACCATCTTTCTAAACTCCATATATATGTGTTAGTATACTGTAATGGTCTTTATCTTTCTGGCTTACTTCGCTCTGTATAATGAGGCCCAGGAATTTAAATTAACATGTTTTGTTGCATGTGGAGTAAAGACTTTAACCTAAAAACTATGTAGTAGAAGTTACATGGTTGTGGAAACTTAAGAACCAAGTATTAACACACAAAGTAACATTTTCTGAGCTAAAATCTGTCTCGTCAGGTATGCTGATGACTGACTTCTCCCCAGGTGGATTGCAGGGTTTTCCTTTGTGCTCTTGTAGGTGGCGCTGGTGTTCCCGAACAGTGACCCAGTGATGTTCATGGTTGCGTTCTACGGGTGTCTCCTGGCCGAGCTGGTTCCTGTCCCCATCGAAGTGCCACTCACGAGAAAGGTAGCGCGTGATGCCGGCTAGGGCTTGTGGTCCCTGAGGCTTGGTCCTAAAGCCCCGCGTCCCTTGCAGGTGTCTTCCTGTCCTTGCTCCAGGCGCCTCTTGTTGGGGGAGGACGGGCAGGCGGGCTTCAGAGAGACTAGGGCAGCTTTGCCCAGATGCCCGTCGCGTGTCTCCATGGGAGAAAGGTGCAAGAACGCCTGTTGGTGCTGATATCCCAACAGAAACGAACGTCTTTTCTTCTAACGAATAGAATTTGGGATCTGATGAGATTCTGTTAAACCATTTCTCAAAATGATGTGCTTCTTGATAATAATTTTCACTTCTGGATGAATCAGTCATTCCAGAGATGTGTTACAGCTCATTTCTTAGTGATAAACACATGACATGAGATCCTCCTGTGTTCCTATCACCTTCAAAACAGTGAGCAGATCTCATTGCTCACAGGTGGCTTCCAGTGGGGGAGGGCCTGATGTCCTAGATAGCTATTACACTTTAGATATAAATACCGGTAATGTGATTACTGAAAAGTATATTTTTCTAGGAGTAGACTCAACATGTATTTTAGAAAATCATAGTTTTCTATTGTATCCCAGTGTTCAGGTAATTATTAACAGGAGCATTATCAGCGAGAAATATTCGAGTTCAAGAATCCTCAAAGTAAAACTTGTGAATAAATGCAGTATATCCCAAAGGGTGATACATATGATATGCAGATATTTGAATACAGGTTTCTTATGGAAAGAGTTTGTAAAACTTATAAGAAGAAAATGATAAAACGCTACTGAAGGACCTATTCTGTGTAAAAATAATTAAGATTGTTAAAGGTCAGACCTCCCCAGAATAATCTGTATATTTTAAACACAGATCAAGTGTAAATTTCAGTGCTATTATTTTTGGAGTTTATTAAAATGCTAGTAAGAGTCATTTGCAAGAAAAACTGAGAAGTTAGTCAGTTACCCAGAACTTTATCTTTTGAACTTAAGAACTTAAATATTTCATTTTGAGGGAAATGATGCACACACCTCTCAGGCTCACCTGGTCTAGTTTTGCAGGTGCTGAGGAAAGCCGTTCTGTGTGCAAGCAAGCCCCCTGCCCCTCTGTTTCTGCAGGATGCTGGCAGCCAGCAGGTCGGGTTTCTGCTGGGCAGCTGTGGCATCTCCCTGGCTCTGACCACAGACGCTTGTCAGAAAGGCCTGCCCAAGGCTCAGACCGGAGAGGTGGTGACCTTCAAAGGTGGGCCCATGGGCGGGCAGCATGTGGCAGGGTTCTCTGCTAAACTGGGCCCTTGGGCGTCCTTTCCTGTCAGCAGCTGCTACAGAGACAAAGGGGCCTTCAGCAAAAGCGGGGTCTTGTTTTAGACCTTGGTGAATCTTGCTCCTCACCTGGCTCAGGGTCTATACCTGCGCTGGCTAGCCTGGCAGCCACTGGTCATTAAACATAAGTGCACCAAGGTCAAGCGAGACAGGGGCTCCTGCCCACCGTTTCAGCGGCTCGGGCAGTGTGTTGGATGCAGAGGTGTCGGGAGGGAGCAGGGCCCTCTGACCCTGCCTCTGCATGTCCATGTCTGTGCCCTCACAGGCTGGCCGCCCCTCACCTGGCTGGTGATCGATGGGAAGCACCTGACCAAGCCCCCCAAGGACTGGCACCCGGCATTGCAGGATGCGGGGCCCCGGACCGCCTACATCGAGGTATGCCCTTGCCGGGCCCCGTGCTCAGGCCCCTCCATGTGGGCTTTTCCTTCACCCCAGAGCCTCCCCTGCTGCCTCCCTGGGACCACCTGCGTGCCCTGTCGCCCCTCACCCACCCAGGGTGAGCCTGATGTCAGCTGAGGGCATCACTTTGAGGGCCCGGGCATACTGTGTGCTCTGGTCGAACCTGTGGTGGGTGAAGGACAGCCTCCAGAAATGTCACCTAATGAGCTCGTGCTTTGGAATCTTTCAGTACAAAACCAGCAAGGAGGGAAGTACGGTGGGAGTGGCGGTGTCGCATGCGTCCCTGCTGGCGCAGTGCCAGTCTCTGACCCAGGCGTGCGGCTACTCGGAAGGTAAGGGTTGGGGCGGCTCTCCGGCTCCTCCCAGAGCTCACGCAGTGAGGCCTGTGGGAGGGGAGGGACACGGCATGCTGTGGCCCTGGGGCTTCAGGGTGACCTGAGAAGGGGGCGGGGCCTGGGAACGAGTGACCCTCCGCTGCCCTCCGTCCGCTCCGCGTCTGAGAGGAGAGGGAAGTGCGCACTCCTGCGGCCTCTGGCGTGTGGCTGCTCCCTGTGTTTCCAGAGGAGCGGTCAGCTTGTTCTCTGTGCTAACTCGCAGTTGTGTGATCTGCTTTCACATTTACCAAGATTATTGACTGGTTGGGACATGGCATTTGGAAGTGCTTTGTATGTTTCCTAGAACTCCTTATTTGTTGATGATATAATCATCTCAGGGTGTCTCTGAAAATGCACGTGACTTCTGAGGTGAGGAGGGTCAGTTGGTTGTTTAACCATCTTTGTCCACTTTCAGCTGAAACATTAACAAATGTGCTGGATTTCAAAAGGGATGCCGGCCTGTGGCATGGAGTGTTAACAGTGAGTGCCGTGTCTGTACTACCTAACTGTGGGGAGGTTGCTAAAGTTTCACGCCCGTGGGCAACACCAGGCCCCACTGTGGCTGGTGGAGTCAGCCCTTGTGCTGTGAGTGGAGCTCTGACACTCTCTGTGCCTCTCCTGGTGGGGCCCCCTTCCCCCACAACTGCGGGTCTCTTCACAGAGCATCCTGAACAGGATACATGTGGTCAGCATCCCGTATGCGCTGATGAAGGCGAACCCACTCTCCTGGATTCAGAAAGTGTGTGTGTATAAAGGTAACAGAGGAACGTCGCCTGTCTGTGTGCCCTTCCTTAGAGGGGTCTTTGAGTTAATCTTTGGTGATTAAGAAATAATGCAGCAGACACAGAGCTGTGGGGGGAGGGCGGGGCCAGGGCAGGCACCCCCTGCCCCACAGCCTGACTCTCCAGTGCTGGGAATAGGGGGCTGTGGAGGACGGCTCTGTTCAGCATGGCCATAAACTCCTGACTTCATGCTGTCACATAAACGCTCCTGATTCTTAGCTCTTGAGATGGCTTGAATTTGAAGTTAGGGCTCCTCAAGCCACCAGTAGCAAAGCTGATTGTTCAAACAAAGCAGTTTATGATCCAGAGCAGGGGGGCTGCCCGCAGGGCCACACCCAGCCTGCTGTCCATCCAGAGTCAGTTGGTGCTTCCCGAGCATGGCCACCCCTGTGTGATCGGGTGTCCGTAGGCTCTGCTCCAGCAGGGCTTGGCGGGCCTGCTGTGTCCTGGGTGCCCCATACATGTCGACCACACTAATGACATTGCCAGTTATGGAGTGTGGATGTGGGCCGTGCCCTGTGGGGGGCTGTCTCTGATGACCCTGTCTGACGGATGAAAACCGAATCCAAGGGGGGTGTTCGGCAGTGCCCCCTCCCGCTAGAGGGAGCAGGGTCCCCCCGTGTCGGGGAGGGGCAGCCGGGGAGCAAGTGGCAGGTGTGGTGGGAGCAGGGGGAGAGTCAGAACGGCCTCTGCACTGCTGGCTTCCAGGCAGGCCAGGTGGGGGAAGCCCAGAGGCCGGGCTGTGGGGGGCACGTGGCCTGCTCCGTGGGCCTGCCTGCCCGTGACGCAGACACATCCTGCTCCCCCACAGCCCAAGCTGCACTGGTAAAGTCCCGCGACATGCATTGGTCTCTCTTGGCTCAGCGAGGTCAGAGGGACGTCAGCCTCAGCTCCCTGCGCCTGCTGATCGTGGCTGATGGTGCAAACCCCTGTGAGTACCGCCCACCCCCCACCCCCGGAACCCCTGTATAGCGTGGCCCTGACAACCCTGGGCTCCTGGGTACCTGACTGTTGGGAGGGCACCCCACCTTCTAGCACCCCAAAGCCTCTTATTTCCTCCATCCATCCCTGAGCCTCTCGTCCTGCTCCAAAGCACCACAGGCCGCTGGCTCCTCTGTGTCTCCACCACACTCTTGGCGCAGCTGCTGAGCCACCAGGAGCCCCTCCCCAGGCCGGCCGGCCCGCAGACCTCAGAGCCCAGGACTCTGAGTGCCCATCGCTTCCCTGGTGCGCCGAGCCATCCAGACGTCTTGTTTGTCCCCTGCTGGATGCAGGGACCCATAGCCAGGTTCCCCTCCTTTCCTGAGCCTGCCTGTGGCAGAACGCTGCAGGTTGGGGTGCAGCCCTGGTCCTGGTGGGAGCAATGCCGTGCTGACTTAGGCCCTGAGCAGGCAGCACCACCCCAGACGGTGGCTGGGCAAGTGGGCAGAGAAGCAGGGTTGAAGGGCTGGGCTGCCCCTGCAGGGAGAGGCATGTTGAAGCCACTGGCAGACTGCAGCTGCGAGGCGCTTCCAGGAGTGGGTGCTCACAGGGCCAGGCCTCATGCTGCAGAAGGTTCAACTCCGGCTCTGTAAGTGGCCGGGGTCGCCTCCCATTTGCACAACTGCCAGTAGGTGGGCGAGGCTGTCAGACCTCAGACTCAACGCCAGGGGTGAGAGTCAGCTTCTTATTTGCTAGTGATTTGAAAGCACATCCTGTTTTTTGTGGAAACAGCGCCCCCCCCACCATGAGACTGGCGGGTTGACTGAGGTGAAGGGGTACAGCATCCGGGCCTGGTGCCTGGCATCCTCCACACTGGGTGCCTGATGGCCTTCCGCTCAGCGCTCATGTCCATTGTGTCTCACGCAGGGTCCATATCCTCCTGTGATGCATTCCTCAACGTCTTCCAGGCCAGAGGGCTGAGGCCAGAGGTCATCTGTCCCTGTGCCAGCTCACCGGAGGCGCTCACCGTGGCCATCCGCAGGTAGCTGATCACTCGCTCTGTCTTGTAGACACTTAATTTTTCCTCATTCAGCTGAGTTACCTGTGAGAGCAAATTTGGTTGATTGGTTCCTGAGCAAGAGAAACTGTGAGCAGTGCCTGGTCTGGGGCCCATCTCCAGGCGTGTTCATGTCCTAGCAGGGCTGCCCCAACTGCCACTTCTGCACCCCCTGTTGGCCACACATGCCTCTCCAGCTGTCCTGATTTGTGACACTGTTCCATGGTGCTCCCTGGACCACCATCTCTGGATTATTGCAGCCCAGGACTCGCCCTGTTCTGATGGGGTTGTGAGGCCTGAGAGAGACAGCCTCCTGCTCTGTGCTCACCCATGTGACTCCCCAGGCCCCAGCGAGGTTGCCTTCCTGCCCAGTCATCTCTGCTCACCTAAGGCTGCTGTCCATGCCCCCAAGTGCCATCCTCAGGTAGAGGGCAGTGCGCTCACATTTGCGGGCACTTTGTTAATTTCCCACTCTCAGCTCAGTTGTTAAGAGAGTGAGTTTCAGTTGTGGTCTTGTATTACGTTGTTTATTTATCCATGGCAGTAAGAAATCCTAACATGTTGATAAGAATCAGCATTAAAAACATCACCTTTATCCTCCCCAGACCGCAGTGGGGGTTCTTCATGCCTTTGTTCTGCGGTGACCTCTTTTGCTCAGCAGAGTGGTTTTTCTTACTGGAAGAGACGTGATACTTGATTCTCAGCCTCCCAGATTCTGTGGCTGCGAAACCAATCAGGCCCAACTTGGCATTGCAGCAGTGGCCACTTTACTGCCCCTGGCTTCCTGTAGTCGGGAGTCGGGACCACTCTTTGGGTCAGTCTGCTGCGGCTCTGTGGCCTTTGCCTGGAATGGGTGGTGCAGCCTGCTGTTCTTCTGCCGTGGCTCCAGGCCACCTCCTCTGGTCTCAGGGTCCTCTGGGCTTGCTCCCAGGAAGCATGGACTCTGCTTACCTGCTGCCTGGGGCTCTGGGCACTGTCCCAGTAGCACCTGGTGGAAGCGGTCACCTTTGTGCCCTCCTTGGAAGGCATGCAGTATTACTGCATGGTCCCCGCAGCCCCCTGGTCCCCTGCTGTGGAGCACATGGGGTGGGGTGTCAGGTCTCACAGCCAGCATCCCTACAGCCTGGCGCCAGCTGGCACTTTGCTGCACATCATCCTGTTGTCAGGGAGCTGTCCCCTCGTCAGTTAAGAAATTTTGTTTCCAGGCCGCCTGATATGGGGGGCCCTCCTCCAAGAAGAGCTGTGCTGTCCATGAGTGGCCTCAGTCATGGGGTGATCAGAGTGGACGCTGAGGAGAAGCTGTCGGTCCTCACAGTTCAGGATGTCGGCCAGGTGATGCCTGGAGGTGAGGGCACAGCGGGGTCATAGTGGGGAAGGGTCTTGTACTGTGGCTGGGTGGGCTCTAAAGAACAAAAATACTGGGCTTCAGATGGTCCACGTGGGCTGGGGTTTTTGTTTGTAACATGTTTTCTGTTTTTTTGCCTCCCTTTGTATCAAGGGCAGTGTGTTTGCCCCATGACCCTGCCTTGGTCCCCTCAGGGCTGGGGAGTAGTGACAGAGCTCCCCTCTGGAAGGTCGTGCACCAGGCGGTCACATGCTTGTCCCTCGGCATGGCCTGCAGCCCTCAGGCCCTCAGCTGCAGTCACCAGTGATGGGGTTGTCTTGGTCCTGCTGAGGGCCTGTTAGGTGAGCAGCAGCGGGACCCTAAAGGCTCCAGGAAGGTCACGGGCCAGGATGGCGCGTGAGTCACCAGAGGGGCAGCAGTGGGGGAGGGTGACAGCACCATCTCCCCACAGGCCCCCCGCCTCACCCTGAGCAGTGTCACAGCAGAGAATTTCGAGCAGAGCCAGCCAGAGGCTGGTGGCTTCATGAGTAAGGGGTGCCCTACGTGTGCTCTGAGGCTGCCCCTTGCCATGGCCACCCTGCGGTGCTCCAGCTCCCCTCCTGCCTGTGCCCACCCTTCTGACGACCCTGGAGAGCAGCTTCTATCTCCACTCAGGCCTTGTCGTGGTGCGCCCTGGTCCCAGGCCCGGGACCATGTCTGTAGCTCTGCCTCCCACAGGCTCTCGGAGCAGGCTGGGCACAGAGGGAGGGACATGGCCGCATCTGGCCCAGTGCTGGTGCTAGGGGTCAGCACAGAACAAGGATGGACATTTATTAGGTTGGTGCAAACATAATCCTGGTTTCAGAAATAAATTTTAATCATTGTAACTAGGCTCAAACACATCTTTATCAATCAAAATAGGAACTATTACAGTCAACACATTTTTTATTAATTTTTAATTAATTTATTTTAATGGGAGGCTAATTATTTTACAATATTGTCCTGGTTTTTGCCATACATCGACATGAATCAGCCATGGGTGTATATGTGTCCCCCATCCTGAACCCCCCTCCCACCTCCCTCCCCATCTCATCCCTCAGGATCATCCCACACACCAGCCCTGAGCACCCTGTCTCATGCTTTGAACCTGGACTGGTGATCTGTTTCACATATGATAATATACATGTTTCAATGCTATTCTCTCAAATCATCCCACCCTCACCTTCTCCAAGAGAGTCCAAAAGACTGTTCTATACATCTGTGTCTCTTTTGCTGTCTCATATAGGATCATTTTACCATCTTTCTAAATTCCATATATATGAGTTAGTATACTGTATTGGTGTTTTTCTTTCTGACTAACTTCACTCTGTATAATAATCTCCAGTTTCATCTACCTCATTAGAACTGATTCAAATGCATTCTTTTTAATGGCTGAGTAATATTCCGTTGTATATATGTACCACAGCTTTCTTATCCGTTGGTCTGCCAATGGACATCTAGGTTGCTTCCATGTCCTGGCTATTGTAAACAGTGCTGCGATGAACATTAGGGTACATGTATCTCTTTCAGTTCTGGTTTCCTCGGTGTGTATGCCCAGCAGTGGGATTGCTGGGTCATATGGCAGTTTTAGTTCCAGTTTTTTAAGGAATCTCCACACTGTTCTCCATAGTGACTGTACCAGTTTGCATTCCCACCAACAGTGTTAGAGGGTTCCCTTTTCTCCACACCCTCTCCAGCATTCATTGTAGACTTTTTGATAGCAGCCATTCTGACCGGTGTGAGATGGTATCTCATTGTGGTTTTGATTTGCATTTCTCTGATAATGAGTGATGTTGAGCATCTTTTCATGTGTTTGTTAGCCATTTGTATATCTTCTTTGGAGAAATGTCTTTTTAGTTCATTGGCCTATTTTTTGATTGGATCGTTTATTTCTCTGTAATTGAGCTGCTGGAGCTGCTTGTATATTTTTGAGATTAATTCTTTGTCAGTTAGTTGCTATTATTTTCTCCCATTCTGAAGGCTGTCTTTTCACCTTGCTTATAGGTTCCTTCGTTGAGCAAAAACTTTTAAGTTTCATTAGGTCCCATTTGTTTATTTTTGCTTTTATTTCCATTACTCTGGGACGTGAGTCATGGAGGATCCTGCTGTGATTTATGTCAGAGAGTGGTTTGCTTATGTTTTCCTCTAGGAGTTTTACAGTTTCTGGTCTTACATTTAGATCTTTATTCCATTTTGAGTTTATTTTTGTGTATGGTGTTAGAAAGTGTTCTAGTTTCGTTCTTTTACAAGTGGTTGACCAGTTTTCCCAGCACCACTTGTTAAAGAGGTTGTGTTTTCTCCATTGTATATCCTTGCCTCTTTTGTCAAAGACAAGGTGTCCATAGGTGCGTGGATTTATCTCTGGGCTTTCTATTTTGTTCCATTGATCTGTATTTCAGGCTTTGTGCCAGTACCATACTGTCTTGATGACTGTGGCTTTGTAGTACAGTCTGAAGTCAGGCAGATTGATTCCTCCAGTTCCATTCTTCTTTCTCAAGATTGCTTTGGCTATTTGAGGTTTTTTGTATTTCCATACAAATTGTGAAATTATTTGTTCTAGTTCTGTGAAAAATACCGTTGGTAGCTTGATAGGGATTGCATTGAATCTATAGATTGCTTTGGGTAGTATACTCATTTTCACTATGTTGATTCTTTTGATCCATGAACATGGTGTAATTCTCCATCTATTTGTGTCATCCTTGATTTCTTTCATCAGTGTTTTTTATAGTTTTCTATGTATAGGTCTTTTGTTTCTTTAGGTAGATATACTCCTAGGTATTTTATTCTTTTTATTGCAATGGTGAATGGAATTGTTTCCTTAATTTCTCTTTCTGTTTTCTCATTGTTAGTGTATAGGAATGCAAGGGATTTCTGTGTGTTAATTTTTTATCTTGAAACTTTCCTATATTCATGGATTAGCTCTAGTAATTTTCTAGTGGAGTCTTTAGGGTTTTCTATGTAGAGGATCATGTCATCTGCAAACAGTGAGAGTTTTACCTCTTTCCAATCTGGATTCCTTTTATTTCTTTTTCTTCTCTGATTGCTGTGGCTAAAATTTCCAAAACTATGTTGAATAGTAGTGGTGAGAGTGGGCACCCTTGTCTTGTTCCTGACTTTAGGGGAAGTGCTTTCAATTTTTCACCATTGAGGATAATGTTTGCTGTGGGTTTGTCATATATGGCTTTTATTATGTTGAGGTATGTTCCTTTTATTCCTGCTTTTTGGAGGGTTTTTATCATAAATGGATGTTGAATTTTGTCAAAGGCTTTCTCTGCATCGATTGAGATAATCATATGGTTTTTAATCTTTCAGTTTGTTAGTGTGGTGTATCACATTGATTGATTTGCAGATATTAAAGAATCCTTGCATTCCTGGGATAAAGCCCACTTGGTCATGGTGTACGATCTTTATAATATGTTGTTTGATTCTGTTTGCTAGAATTTTGTTGAGGATTTTTGCATCTATGTTCATCAGTGATATTGGCCTGTAGTTTTTTTTGTGGCATCTTTGTCTGATTTTGGTATTAGGGTGATGGTGGCCTCATAGAAAAAGTTTGATAGTTTACCTTCCTCTGCAATTTTATGGAAGAGTTTGAGTAGGATAGGTGTTAGCTCTTCTCTATATTTTTGGTAGAATTCAGCTGTGAAGCCATCTGGTCCTGGGCTTTTGTTTACTGGAAGATTTCTGATTACAGTTTTGATTTCCATGCTTGTGATGAGTCTGTTAAGATTTTCTATTTCTTCCTGGTTCAGTTTTGGAAAGTTATACTTTTCTAAGAATTTGTCCATTTCTTCCAAGTTGTCCATTTTATTGGCATATAGTTGCTGATAATAGTCTCTTATGATCCTTTGTATTTCAGTGTTGTCTGTTGTGATCTCTCCATTTTCATTTCTAATTTTGTTGATTTGATTCTTCTCCCTTTGTTTCTTGATGAGTCTGGCTAATGGTTTGTCTATTTTATTTGTCTTATCAAAGAACCAGCTTTTACCTTTGTTGGTTTTTACTATGGTCTCTTTTGTTTCTTTTGCGTGTATTTCTGCCCTATTTTTTAAGATTTCTTTCCTTCTACTAACCCTGGGGTTCTTCATTTCTTCCTTCTCTGGTTGCTTTAGTTGTAGAGTTAGGTTATTTATTTGACTTTCCTCTTGTTTCTTGAGGTGAGCCTGTATTGCTATGAACCTTCCCCTTAGCACTGCTTTTATTGAGTCCCAGAGGTTTGGGGCTGTTGTGTTTTCATTTTCTTCCACTTCTATGCATATTTTGATTTCTTTTTTGATTTTCTGTGATTTGTCAGTTACTCAGAAGCGTGTTTTTCAGCCCCCATATGTTGGTATGTTTGGTGGTTTTTTTCCCGTAGTTGACATCTAATTTTACTGCATTGTGATCAGAAAAGACACTTGGAATGATTTCAGTACTTTTGAATTTACCAAGGCTAGATTTATGGCCCAGGACGTAATCTGTCCTGGAGAAGGTTCCGTGTGCACTTGAGAAAAAGGTGAAATTCATTGTTTTGGGGTGAAATGTCATGTAGATATCAATTAGGTCTAACTGGTCCATTGTATCATTTAAAGTTTGTGTTTCCTTGCTAATTTTCTGTTTAGTTGATCTATCCATAGGTGTGAGTGGGGTATTAAAGTCTCCCACTATTATTGTGTTACTGTTAATTTCCCCTTTCACACTTGTTCGCATTTGCCTTACATATTGTGGTGCTCCTGTGTTGGGTGCATATATATTTATAATTGTTTTATCATCTTCTTGGATTGATCCTTTGATCATTATACTGTGTCCTTCTTTGTCTCTTTTCACGACTTTTATTTCAAAGTCTATTTTATCTGATATGAGTATTGCTACTCCTGCTTTCTTTTGCTCTCCATTTGCGTGAAATATGTTTTTCCAGCCCTTCACTTTCAGTCTGTATGTGTCCCTTGTTTTGAGGTGGGTCTCTTGTAGACAGCATATATAGGGGTCTTCTTCTTGTATCC